AGCCATTGTTGATTCCCTATGGTCTGGTTTTATAATTCTATATCATTTCCATTATTTTATTGGGTTGGGTTTTATTGTCTTTTGTTTCATTTGATTATGTTAAATTCAATGGCAGGAGCAGCTATTTCAAAAATAGCAAGATATCATAGCAATTTTGAATTTACTATTCACTTGTTTTGAAGTTTCTTTCCACTCTGTTTGATTTTTACTATGTCCAAAATTATCTGCAACTATTGTGAAGACATCAAAAGGCATTATTATATTGTTGATTTTGTAAAGTTTTGAAGTCTTGTATCACTTACACTGGTTTGTTTTGATTGGTTTTATCCTGTTTCATCCTCTTTAAAATAGAAAAAAAAAGCTAAAACTAGAAATTCCATTTGACTTGGCTATTTCCCTCCTACATATCTTCCTGAAAGGATTAAAAATCATATTACAGTAATATATACAGATCCATGTTTACATCAGCACAAGTCATAACAGCTAACTCTTGGAAGTGGCTTATATGTCCATCAACAGATGAATGGATAAAGAAATTGTGATATTTACACATACTGTTTTGCTATAAAGAAGGATGAATTTGACTCACTTGTAGAAAAATGAATGCACCTTGTGACCATGAGGTTAAATGAAATAAATCAGATACATAAGCTTAAATATCAAATGTTTTTAATATTAAAAACTCAAACTTTAAATAATGAGAAAAATGAAAGATAGATATAGGAAACAAGGAGATCTTTTGCAAAAGGAAAGGGGAGAGGTGAGGAAGGGGACATAAGAATTAAGATGTGTCACTTACATGTACCAACTCCCCAGAATGAATATAATCATTATGTGTTGCAGACATGTGCTAATAAAAATTCAAATATATATTTAATTTTTGAAGGCATAATATGCATTGTTTGCTGTTTAGTATGCCTTCCTTAAAAATTCTGATAGTGGTCTAAGTCTATGACTTTTATCATCTTATTTCTCTTTTTAGAAGACTTTCATCTTTGTCTTTAGCAAATTAAAATTTTGTAGCAATGTGTCTAGGTGTATTTTTACTCAAATATAGTATGTAAGATTTCAGACACTTCTCTCTCTTGCACTATAGACGGCATAGTGTTTCTGTCTGCATTTCCTCTGTTCTTTCTCGTGGACCCCCATTAGTTAGAAATTGAATTGTAACATCTGAAGAAATCCCACAATCTGATGGCTTTGAACAATGAGAAGCCTAATATCTGATACGTTGGAAAACAACCCGGAGAATCAGCTCAGCAGAGCTAGGTGTTTTTTGATGTGACTGCATTGAGATGTGTGTATTAGTAGACTGGCATAGCTAAATGTCAACTGAGAAGACCAGTGATGCTCCAGGAGGATTGTTCGGGAAGAGACTGATGCCTTGAGTTTTCATATGGTTGAAATGTAGCTGTGTGGTTCACTGTAAATTTTGCAATTCAATGTAATTGAATTTCCAATTGTAATCATTTTTTAAATGTGTGCTTATGAACAAAATCACTAGACCAGTACTAATCAGTACACACTATCTTGCCCTAAAGGGTCACTGGGCTATTGACTGGGATAGTTGTGGTTCTGCACACATCGGAGTTTCTAAGTCAATATTACCACCTCTCAACTGACCAGACAGCATTGGCTTACAGGTATAACAACACTGACTTTTTTTGCCCTTTAGAGATTTATAGGTTTAAACTAATACCAATACTAAATAGGGAAGCTATTTGGTAATATGCTCTACCTAAAATTTAGTACTATTATGTTGTCATTAATATAGACACTACATGAAAAGTGGAAAACTAGATTTCTAGATGAGCTGATTAAAGCTGACTTGAAAATGTCCCAAAATAAGTGCCAGAACCATAACCTGGGAGTAGAGATTCACTAAAAAACTTTGAGACAGAGAGACAGAGAGAGAAGGTTATTATAGATCAACTAAATGACAATGTATTGCTGTGCAAGAAGCTGCAGAATTGTGTAAATGATTTACTTAAAAAGGTGCTTCTTAAAATGGCAAGTGTGGTAGCATGTGCCTGTATTCCCAGCACTCAAAAGACTGAGGCAGGAGGATCACTGCGAGTTTGAGGCCAGCTTGGGCTGCAAAGTGAGTTCAAGCCCAGCCTAAACTGCATGGTGAAATCCTATCTAAAAAAGAAAAAAAAAAAAAACCTTAAAGAGTACTGATTCTGGGACCTCAAGACATCTCAGGAGGCACAGCTTTGCAACCAAAATCATTATTTTTCAGTCACTTGATATACTGTCAGCATCCACAAGTGATTTAGGACATTGTAAATATTACAAATTAATATGGAAGGATACAACTCAAATTAGAACCTACTTTTCACCTATGTGAAAAGCTCACTAAGCCAACAGCTTTGCACAGTTGTTACTTATATAAAGATAGAATATTGAGTTAGTTGCTGCTTGGAGAAATGGGAACTAGTAATTAGTGGCCAAATAAAATGGTAAGTAGAACAAAAATTAGACAAATTACTGCACAGTTTCATTTAACAGTGAGAGCTGTCTATCACATGGCAGATTTTATGTTCTCCAAATAGTAACATGTAATATGCTAATAAGCGACACAACAAAGAATCATTCTCCTAAGATTACATAAAATAATTGGTGTTGTAAGGAAGTGATAACAGACACAGGTATAAATATTTTAGAGAGAGGAGAATAATCTCTCTACAACACTCACCGTGAGTATAGCACAGTCAGGAAATGTTTAATGTGCTGTGCCCTAGAAAAGATATGCATCTCTCGTGGGAATGCCATTTTGTTAGCTTAGATCCTGATCAGGAAGCTTTCTATCTTGTTAGACAGGGAGCTCTATGCATAGAGATAGCTCTCACCACACAGAGGCAGAACACAGGTCCCGCAGCACCCAAGTCTGGAGACACGGAAGGAGCTGTGTACAGATGCAGAAAGGCTTTAGTAAGTGATTATCAGTAACCCTTGGTAGACATTTGCCTCTGCATTAAAGGGAAGAAGTCCTTTTAGAAACAGCATTCTCATACAGCATATTAAAGTTCTCGAAGGAAAAATTTTGAGCTATTTCAGAAGTAGAGACCAGGGGCTGGAGATTTAGCTCAGCGGCATAAGCGCCTGCACTACAAGCAGGCAGTCAGTCGTGAGTTCGATCCCTGGTACCGATAAAAAGGAAAAAGACAAAAAAGGAAAAAAAAAACCAGAAGTAGATACCAGGAATTTCAGTGAACAGCATTAGTGGCCCGAAACAAGAAAGTGACATTGCAAGAGTGGGACATGGAGGAGAAAAGTAACACCATTCCACAGTACACGTTCCATTTATTCAAGGCACACGTCATGATGATTCAGTATACATATACATTCTAAGTGGCTGCTGGGGTAAAATTCATTAACACATCCATCAACACACTTCATTAAAATTGTGTGTGTGGTGTGTGTACTCATAAGTGTGACAAGGACACTTCAGATCTACTCTCTGGAAATTTCAAGTAAAAATACAGCATCAACAGTACAGTCATGCAGATTAGCTATGGTAACCATGCAGTATGTTAGATTCCCGCAAATTCATCCAGTATCTATCCATTCCCCTCCTCCCACCACATCCCCAGATAACCACCATTCTGTTTTTGGTGTCAACAAGTTCAATATTTTTCAGATTTCACACGTTAAGTGAGGTTACGCAGTGCTAGATCTGTGGCTTAGTTCATTCAGCACAATAACCTCCAGGTTTATCCACACTGCTGAAAAATAGAGGATTTCCTTCTTTGTACGGCTGAATAATATCCAGCTCTAAAACTGTAGCACATTTTCTTTAGGCAGCCATCTATCAAGAGACGCTTAGCAGGGAGGTGGCACGTGTTTGTAATCACAGCACTCCAGAGGCTAAGGCAGGAGGATCGCTAAGTGTTTGAGGCCAGCCTGGGCTACAAAGTGAGTTCAAGGCTAACCTGAACTGTATAGTAAAACTATATATCAAAAAAGAAAACAAAAAAAAAAAAAGAAAGAGAAAGAAGAAAGATGGATAGAAAGAAAGAGAAAATTTTAACACCATAGCTAGACTATCGTTAGAAATGTTGCATACAACACAGGAGTGCAAACATCTCTCTGTAAGAGTCTGATTTCATTTCCTTCGAATATATAATCATAGGTGAGATTGTTGGATCATATATATGGTACTTCCACATGTAATTTCTTTAGGAATTCTCATCCTGTTTTCCCTCATGTCTGTACCATTTCAAACTACCACCAATGCTGTGCAAGAGTTCTCCTTTCTGCAAACCCTCAACATCTATTATTTCTTGTCTTAAGAATAAGCATCCCGGGCTGCAGATTTAGTGGCATAAATGCTTGCCTGGCAAGCATGAAGTCGTGAGTTCAATCCCCACTACCAAAAAAAAAAAAAAAGAATAAGTATCCTAACAGGTGTGAAGCGATGTCTTCCTGAGGTTTTGTTTGCTTTTCCCTGATGACATTTATTTTTTCACGTACTGATTGGCCTTATTTCTTTGTTGGAAAAGTGTCTATGTCAGTCCTTTGCCCATTTTTTGATCAATTGCCTTCTTTTTGTTATGGAATAAAGTTCCTTTTATATTTTAGATATTACCAGATAGATAGATGCTCCCATTTCACAGATCACCTTCTTTTTGCTTTCTTAACTGTTTCTTTCCTTTGCTGTGTAGAACCTTTTTAGTTTGATAGTCTCTCTTATTTTTGCTTTTAATTGGTTATGATTTTGATGTTACAACTCTAAAGATATCAAGATCAACATCAAGAAGTCATTCTTCAGTAGGGCCCGACTTGTCTGTAAAAGGTCACCATTGAGACCAGCATTCTATTATGAAATCATAGGGATTTTTTGTTTAGTCTCAACACTTCTATGAACTCTTGGGTTTAGTTTTCAGTCAGCTTTGGTCCCTTTTCTCTCTGTAAAAGGGAGGTACACGATGCATGAGTCTGGCCGGTCTGTAATCACTGATTCTTTTTTTTTTTTTTTTTTTTTTTTTGGTACGTAGGAGAATTTAGCTAAAAGCCTATGGGATGTGTATGCAGCACTGCTGTGTCATCAGTCCCTAATCCTGGCCATGAACTCAAGGTATGGAAACTGCAGTTTTCTCTTATTTCGCTCATTGAATATCTTGAAACTATTTTCAAAACATGCCTGTAATTCCAGCACTCAGAAGGCTGAGGCAGAAGATTGCTGTGAGTTTGAGGCCAACCTAGGCAACGCCGTCAATTCAAGGCTGCCCTAAGTGCTGAGGATTTAGATCAGTGGCACAGCCTCTGCTTGGCAAGTGTGAGGTCCTGAGTTTGATTCCCAAGTACAAAAAAAGAAAAAGAAAAAGGCTGCTCTAAACTGCACAGCAAGACCCAGTCTCAAACAAACAAACAAACAAAAAGACATAGTTGTGATAAACAAAAAATGACCCCAAATTCTACCATCTTAATTCAGCAACTATTATTTCTTTCTTCTGCTCTTGCTCAGCTTTCTGCATCACACAGATAAGCAGATTATCCTTCTAAGTAATGATGGGCAGGTTTACTTGCCATCAATTTGAAGATACATTCCGATATCAGAAACACTAAAATGCCAAAAAGCATGATTAGAGAAAGCGTGATGATAGTACAGTTCTACTGTCTAAGGCTTACTATGGGTTTGTGAACTTGATGGGAATGTAAGCACTTGTTACATTGTTATGTTTATGACTTCTAAATAACTGATTGTAGGTTATCCTTACAGAAGAACTCTTCATATTTAAAGCATCATTGTTCTTTTTTTTTTGAGACAGGGTCTTACTATGTAGCTCAGGCTGCCCTCAAACTCATGGGGATCCTCCTGCCTCAGCCTCCCAAAGTGCTGAAATTATAGATGCACGCCCAGCTCTTAAAGTATCATTGTTAAAAGAACATTTAAGACTCATGTGTCATAGCCAAAAACTGGACCACAATATCTAGTAAGCACTCCATAACCACTATGAAAAAAGGCCAGTAAAATTAGAATACATTTTAACTCTCAACAATTTAATAATGATATCTTTTTCTTGTCAGCTCTGTGGATCCCTTACCACAATATGAAACTCAGTTGGAGATAGTAAAGTCATCTTTTAAAATGGTATTTAACCTACCAAGTTTTGAAGGAGGAATGTATTGGACCACTGATGAAGAGGATGTCGACGACCTGGAGGTGTGATCTTTCTTGCTTATTCCTGAGGTGACGTTTGATACACTGAGGCCGACCCGCACGATGTGCCTTCATAAGCCATAGACTTTGCTTTCCTCCTTCACTTCATGTCTTCTCCCTCTCTTATCTTAGCTTTAGTGGATAAGTAGGATTTTTCAGTCCTGGCTCATGCCTTTGAGTTCCTTTGTGAATTCTATATGTGATGGCACATAATAAATTGCATAAGGTTCATAGGAACAAATAGGTGGAGATATATTTTGTCTAATTGACTTAGCAAAGGGCAAGAAGTATACTGGAAAGAAAAAAGAAAAAAAGGAGAGAAAAACTGACAGAGCAGAGCTGTAAGCAAGATTAGGGACATGTGTGATCTCTATTTCCTCAGCATTGCTACACAATGCACTTGGTCTATAAGCTGGAGGCGCAGAAAATCTATGGCATATGGTATTGGGTGAGGCATTACCATCATAGCCACCTTGCTTTTTTCTTACTTTTAGTACATGGGGAAAATTTAGGATACTGGAATGAAGAACTACACGTTAGGTAAAAGTTATTAAAGGCTGATAGGCTGGCTTTGCAAATATTTTTGTATTTCAGGTGTTATATAAAAGTATTTTAAGTCTGTTTGAAGACACGCTTCTGATCTTAGTGTCTAAAGACCTCTACAAACTACAGATCTTAAAGGTACAGTAAAGGGGAAACAAGCAGTGTTGTTTGTCCTAGATCTGAAGAGCTTGCTATGCTTCACTTGTTTCTAATTTGCCGCATATCAATGTTCCTTTAAGCATTTGGTAGGTGAAATCTTTTCTGTTTCCAGTGGAGTAGAATTACTTGCAAAACAGAATCACTTCCTCTATTTCAAATATCAAAACAGACTTTTAAGAAATCAGTGTTAGAGGCCATCAACAGACACTTGAGAAGATAAGTCTTGTGTGGCACAGACTGGATGCACACAGGATGGGGCAGCAAAGGATAGGGCTGGATGAACTACCTCCACGTCCACATGACAATGCTGTGCTGTGACAGTGTCTATGAGCACGCCTCCCTCCTCATCACCTTCGAAGCGGGGAGTCATCCGGACAGCCTGTCTTCGTGAACGCCACTTGCTGTGCTATGAATGTGTGCCCCAAAGTTCGTATGTTGGAATCTTAACCTCTAAAGCAACGGTGTGGAGAGGTGAGCTTGAAGAGTTGATTGGGGCCAGGCCTGCCGTCGTGAATGGAAGTGGGTTCTTAATTAAAGGGTGAATCTACCCCCGTCCCTTTGCTCTTCTTCTGTGCTGTTTTCACCCTGCCTTCTGCCATGGAAGGAGGTAGCAAGAAGACCCTTACCAGAGGAAAGTTCTTTGATCTTGGACTCACCAGCCTCCAGCAAGAGATAAATCTCTGTTCTTTATAAATTACTTGATTTTGGGCTGGAGGTTTAGCTCGTGGCCCAAGCACCTGCTTGACAGGTGCAAAGTGCTGAGTTTAATCCCCAGTACCAATCAATCAATCAATGATTCAATCTCGGGGCTGGGGATTTAGCTCAGCAGCATAAGCACCTGCCTTGCAAGCAGGCAGTCATGAGTTTGATCCCCAGTACTGATAAAATAAAAAAAAAATAATTCAGTCTCAGGTATTTTGTCATGACAATACAAATGAATAAATACAGAAAATCAGTACTAAAAAATGTGATTGTACCTATAATAGCAGAAAACGTGAAAGTGGTCTTGGAACTGAATAAGACGTTGAGAGAATTTGGAAGCACAGGTTAAAAAAAACTTAAGATTGCTATGGATAGAATACTAAAGGCTATTGTATTAGTCAGCTTGCCTGTTGATGGGACCAAACATGTAAAGTCACAATTTACAAGAAGAGGTTTCAGCCCTTGGTCAGCTGGCTCCAAGGCCCAAACTTCACAACAGAGGGCATCCCACAGCAAAGCTGCTCAGGGCACGACGGCCAGGAAGCAGAGCAGAAGGCATCAGAGATGGTGTGTGTGTGTGTGTGTGTGTGTGTGTGTGTGTGTGTGTGTATGTGTGTGTGTGTGTTCCTAGGCAATCAAGTTGACAGTGATGGTTAATCATGGCACCCCATCCCTTGTCAGCTTGACACCTAAACATATCTCCTTAAACAATACTTAATTTCCAAATAAGTATGATAACAAGTTAATAATTCTGCCTAACATGATGTAGTTATCTTGCATTCAACAAAGCATTAATGGGCCAGAGATGGTGACACACACCTGTGATTTCAGTACCCCGGAGGGTGAAGAAAGAGGATCACTGCAAGTTTGAAACCAACCTGGGCTACAAAGTGAGTTCAAGGCCAGCCTGAACTGCATAGTGAAACCTTATCTCAAAAAGAAAAAGAAAAGAAGCATAAATAATGCTATTATCCTCTCTCCAAAGTCTCAACAGTTCCAATATTGCTCAGTAGTTCATGTCCAGGCTGTTCTCTGGAACTCAAAGAAACTCTTAGCTGTGGATCCCTATAAACAACCAAAAGTCAGTTACATTATTCCAGCATACAATAGCACAGAGTAAAATTCCCATTCTACAAGTAAGTAATGGAGCCTAGAAAATAATCAGATGAAAGCAAGACTTAAGGGCTGTGTATGTCCAACATCTGGAGTACACAGTGATAAGATGTGAATTTCAGGGATCTTGGGCATCTCCACCCCTGTGGCCTTAAGGTTGAAGCCCATACAGCCTCTCTCTTGGACTGCAGCTTTCCTTGACAGACAGCCCATGTCCTTAGCATCTCCAATATCGTGGGTTCTCCATTGCATTTTTGGCTTTATTCCCACAGCTTCATGTAGGGTCTCCTTGCCTAGCCTCCTAGGTCTTCCTTTGAATTCTGGGTGGAAGCCTCCCTAACCCCACAACTTTTATACTTTGCATGCCTATAAAGTTGGCATAATCATGCCAAAGCCTGCCATGAGCTTGAGCAGTAGCCACACCACCTTGGACTGTGGCTGTAGTGGGTGGCTTCTGAGTACCTGGCTTCTGAACATTATAAAATGAATCCCAGGGAACCAGTTCTTTAGGTGGCCCTCCTTGAGCAGGGGGCTCAGGGGTTCTCTTCTGAAGTACAAGGTTTATGCTTTTGTACCCTAGAACCTGTGGTGGGTGCAGTCATACTGATTCCTTAAATCCACTCAAAGTATCTTTATTCTTATCTCTGATCAAAGTACTTGGTTTCTTTTGAATGCCATTAATCTCAACAACCAAACTTCCTTTGATCCCAGTTTTATACAAGGTTCTCTGATACCAACTTCAATGTTTCTGCTCTGCTTTTTGCTCCTGATTTTCACTATAAACCTTGTCAGACTGTAGGTGATAGTGCACATCTGTAATCCCAGTATTCTGAAATTCTGAGGCAGGATTGAAAATTTGAACCTAGACACGGTAGTTTAGCAATTTAGCAAGACCTGGTCTCAAGATTAAAAGAGAGAGAGAGAAAAGGTCTGAGAATGTAGCTTAATGCAAAGGCTCTGGGGTAACACACACGCATGTACACATCCACACACACGCTTGTGCACATATCCAGACACTTCTGGTCAAAAGCAGCTACCACGCCACAGCCTGAATGTTGGGCTCTCTTGAAACTTCCTCTCTCAGATAAGTTTATCACCCTTAAACCCAACAACACTTTGCCTGTATCTCGAGATTCCAAGTCTCCTGACATGAGAAACATGCAAACCATTTTTTTTTTTGCCAGAGTGTAACATCCATAGCCCCTTCCCAACAGAGTCCTCACTCCCAACTGGAAACTCATGAGCTTAACCTTTACTGTCCTCATTCATATCACCCTTCTGGTTCACTGGACTCTGACTGAAATCACCCTTTCGGCTCTGTTTAACCAGTCTAGAGCTCCTCTAGCCCACTTGTACAAACTTCCAGACAATTCAAAATCCACAATCCAGTTCCAAAATCTAAACCATCTGGTCAAGTAGTTATAGCAATAACCCTGCTTCTGAAGTATCTGTTTTCTATTAGTCAACTTTCCTGTTGCTGAGACTAAATATACAACACTCCCAATTTAAAAGGGAAAAATATTTTATTTGGTTCACAGTTTCAGAAGGTTCAGTCTATTATTGACTGGCTCCAAGACAGAACATCATGGGGTAAGGGCAGGAAAGAATAAAACTGCTCAATTCATTACAGCTGGGAAGCAGACCGGAGAACAGTACCAGAGAAGAAGGACCCAAAGACGAGATATTATTACCCCAGGTCACCTTTCCATCCTGACCCATCCTGACATACCCAAAAGTGTACTTTACTATCCCAAGGTAGCTCCCAGCAGATCAAAATGACAATAAACATCAGTATCCAAAATCTTCTTAGGGATTACTTAAGTGGTCGTGATCAGAGTGGTGGTAGAAAAATGGAAAATAAAGACCATTCATGGGATCTTGAATGAAATGAGGAAGCAGATAGATAAACTGGAATAAAGGCCATCTTTGTTACACAGTTGTAAAAACACAGAGGAATTTGTGTTCTAACATCTTCAGAGTGATGCACTAGGACATGTGGCAGATGAAATCGCTGAGCAGTAAAATGTTCAAAGTGCTGCACAGTTTCTTTCTGGCTGTTCACAGTAAAGAGAGGAGAGAAACCATTTAAAAGTGAAATTTATGAAGAAAAGGGAAGCAGAGTGGAAATACTTGGATGTGTGAAAAATAAAGTGGAGAGTAAAGAAAGATGTGGTCAAGCAACTCTGTGCTAGAAAGGTTAATACAGAGAGAAGACAGTAGGAGAAAGACCTTCAAGGTCATTTTGGAGACAAGCTAGGACCTGAAGGACAAGGTTTCCAGAGAGATGCCCACAGGACCTCAGCATGCTATTCCCTACCGACTGGGAACTCTGTTCCCTGAATTCCTGTACAGCTCCTGCACTATCCAGGCTAAGACTCAAGGAGGCCCACATGTGACTCAACCCACCCTTCTGGAAGGTACAAGCTTCTGCAGGCACACACAGTACAAGAGCTGTGGTGCCATGGTGGCCTTTGCCTGTATTTCAAAAGATGTCACATATCCTGGAGATGCAGGGAAAGACTTGTCACCGGGGCAGATGCACCGCAGAGAGCTCCTGCTAGGGCAGTGCAGAGTGTGGCCACAGCAATAGGTGGCCCCAAGACCACAGAGTGTGTGGCCATCAATGTGAAACTCCAGCCAGGGAGAGTCACAGGCACGAGACTCAACCTGTGTGAGTTCCTGGGTGATCTCGGGCCAACAAAACAATAGGACGGGGCTGCCTGATGTCCTGGGGACCCCATTACCACCTCAGTGTGACACTACACATCAAAGGAAGGCCAGACTAACCAAAACCCTTCTTCTCACAACCAAGAGCTCACTGCATTTTAAATGTCCCAGCCAAAGACAAGGATAGCAGTGATGTCTTAAGTTCTTAATTTTGCATTCCTAACATGATAGCACCAGAAACACTAAGAAAACAGATCCATTTATCTTCCCCGAGAATCCACGGGGTATGCAGATATATCCAAGCAAAGATGGACAGGTGTCCTTGAAAATAAGAAAGAATTTGAAGGACAACAAAAATGTGGAATGTGGCCAAATGGAGCCAGATGTTCTTTGTTAATTTAAAGAATGCTATCCTCAAAACCCTTTAAAATGATATTTTTTCTCCCTCTCTCTCTCTCTCTTCCCCTGCATTCTCTATCAACCACCTTCTGCTGCTATCAAAATAGCTCTCACTTTTTGAGCATTTTTTGTCAGGCACTAAGATGAATATATCAGGTTATCTCATTTAGTCTCTAAAATGTTCCTATGATGAAGTTGCCAGTATTTCTCTCATTTTGGAGTTAGGAAAACAGAAAGAGGAGCAATAATATGTGCCATGCTAATATTATGCGAAGGAAACTGTGTAACTTGGGAGTCTTATTTAACCACTTTGTTTTCCTAACTGCCAAGCCTAAGAAAGCTTGGTTCTCACAGAGAGCTGAAATCACTCCCTGAGAAGACAGAAGTGGGCCTTCGGAGATGCAGGCAGGCTTCCTCCTTGAGAAATGTAGTTCAAAACAGTATGCCAAACAGGAGCAGATGAAGCGGATGAGAGCTGTCCACTGTTGGCATAGATACAATGGACTCCATGGTCTGCCTGAAGAAGCCATGGTTGACATATGGACCATGCGCAGTCGTATTCCCTCCCCAACATAACGTATGTGCCTGTGTGTAGTGTTGAGAACAATATAATGAACAGAAAGATTTGAATCAAAATTAGAAGAAAGTTTCTAACTAAGCTGTGTCCAGTAATGTACTCTCTATCCAAGAGTCAGGATATTTCGGGGATGGGATCGTGGTGAATGTGCAGAAGAATTCTGAGATAGGATGACATTTTAATCTCTTTTAAAGCTGCAAAGCAGACTCTATGATTTTTTTTTAAGACAGTGTCTCACTATGTAATGCAGGCTGACCTTAAACTCACTTATGTAGCCCAAACTGGCCTTAAACACACAGCCTCAGCCTCCCGAGCGCTGGGATTATAGGCATGCGCCACCACACTGGCTCTACGATTTTTAAAAAAGGAGACTATGTACTTAAGAAAAAGAAAAGTGGAGCAGCTGATTACCACATCATAGCCTCGTACTAAACTTTCCATGAGGCCTGACAAAGTGACTGTACTGGATGTGAATAATTTAGATAAAATAAATAAAATAAAACCCAGGTGAAGTTACTATTGTAGGTGAGATAGTACACCAGCTGCTTGTTGTCTGTATGTTTGAGATAAGATTAGGCTAAGTATGAATAAATGAGGAGACCAGAGGGACCCCTGAAATGAAGGTGGAGGGTAGGAGGAGGAGGCCTGAGGACATGGAGCACCATGGCTCTAATATGACTGCCTTTTCAACAGGAAATGACTGTGTGGATGAGTGAAGACAAATCGTACCTGCAAGAAAGAGTACTGGTGATCATCAAAAGGGTGTTAAGATTTGCATCCAAGAAAGCCATGGAATATGTAAGTCACAGAGCTCAGTAATGCCACCTGAGTCTGAACTTCTATGGTGCTGCTTGCCACGCCTTAGGCCTTAAGGGTGCTAGATACCTGCTTGTTATTACTGTGCCGGAAGTTAGGGTATCTGGAATGGAATCAGTATCCTACCCCCAGTAGGAGTCAATCCGAGAGAGATTTCTCAAAGAATTGGTTAAGACGCACTGTCCTGCACAGAAACAGGATGAGTGTGTTAAAATCAGGTTTACAGTGACTCTCTAGACTGTCCTCTGTGGCCCACAATCAGTGTCATTTGTAACCTTATAATTTTTTCCATTTTAATCTTCCTATGTTTTTCTTTTTTCTGAGACTTTTTAAATCGTTGTTTGTTTTAAATTTATACAAGCAGTTCTCAAGAACTTTCGCTGTAAAACATTAGAGCGTAAGTCTATCTTTACTTTTTTGTTTTCACGCTGCCCCAGCCCTGTCAATGTGATGTGGTCAGCCAAGCCCCTGCTGTTTATACACCCACATGTACACACACACTCACACACATGCACACACACACACACACACACACACACACACACACACACAGACATATGGCTTTATTGCCTTGTATTTCTTTATAAAAGTCATATCATAGCTATAGATAGTTCTACAGTTAATATTTTCACTGAACGCTGATGATTTCATCTTAAAGTCTGTAGATTATTTCATTCTTTCAGACACATTATACATCCCATAGTCATTATGCATTAGCATCTGCTTAAGTACATTTCAGTTGATGAATAATAATTTGAAATTTAATTTTCTCTACTTCAAACAATAAAAATGACCATCTTTGTGAAAGTATATGAGTGTGTACTCAGAAATGCTTAGAAAGATAATGGGCAGGTCAAAAAGTGTGAGAAGTTTAGTAATGCTAACTGTCCTTCAATTTGTACTCTTGTGACTATTGTGATGCCTTCCACAACTTCACAAATATTGGGGTATTATAAGGTTCTTTAAATGTTGACTTCTATATGGAGAACAAGTAGGTGTGTACCGAGGTTTTCTGAACTTTGGCATCATTCTGCTTTCTCAGAAGCCTCACATTATGTGTATATTTGATATTACCATCTGCTTCCAACTCACCCTTCAAGGGATGTTAAAACATACTCTACTAATTGCATGTGTGGTTACTTGAGTAACTTCAGAAGTAGTTATGTATACAGGGGGTCACAAATAAGCATTTGTTATGCTGCCTTCGCATACTGCTATATCATGTATCTAGATGTTCCCCTAAAGGCTCAGATATTCAGAGCTGGTTGGATCTAGGGTGTATGATACTAAATTAGCCTGCTGATTGGTTTGGCATAGTTCTGAGTATGGATAATGGGAGGGTCCATGATGGGTGTAGATAGCACCAACCAAAACACTTGTAGCCTGGATGGAATAAAAGGGAAAGGGAGGCTTGCTGCATGTTTGCTGCCTCCTGCCTGCTGTGCCAGGGACTATTTCTCCTCTGTGATGCCCCTCTTCCATGCCACCTTGCCTTAGACCCAGCTGACTGCTAACTGAAACATCTATAAATTCTGAGCTAAAATAAACCTTTTCTTCTCTAACATTGGGTGTTGTATATTTTGTCTCAGAAATGAAACAGCTACTAAGACAATATCCATTCTCCTTGTACAAGTAGATACCAGATATATAAGACAATAAATCTAGATCAGAGAGCTAGCAGTGTAGCTCAGTGGTAGAGTACTTGCCTAGCATATGTGAGGCCCTGGCTTTAGATCTTAGCAGTGCAATGACAAAAAAGATGTAAATCAACCTTTTAAATTTTCTCTTCATTTTGCTACCAACACTTGCTCTCAAGCACCAAGCTACCTACCTAGGAAAAGTAACCATTCATGTTAGAGATAAAAGCACCCTGCAGGCCATGCCACCAGTTTTCTACAACTGCGTGGAGAGAGGCAATTGCTGTTTATAAACATGCAGGAGAAAATTGGTAAGGATATCCATAGCTCCACAGATGTGGCTTTCTCCTTGATCTTTCCTCTTTTTCTTTCCATCTCTCTTTCATTGTTCCCCTCTTTCTTTCTATCTGCATTTCCTTCTCTAATTACATTTGACCTGACCAGACATGTCTGTCAAGATAAAAGTCCTAAATATTTGAGCAGCCTATGTGTCAAACAAGTGGTCAGAAGAAATACATAAATGCTGTGGTAGTAGTTTTTACATCAGGAGCAAGTGCTTTGAATTTTTAAGAAAATGAATTTCTTTGGAAAAAGTCAGGTGAACTCCAGGAAAAAAAATCATATTTGTACTGCAACATACAGAGTCACCTAAAGTGTTTCATATGTGAAAAGGGAACATTAAAGATTTTGGAACCAGGCATGGTGGTGCATGCCTGTAATCCCAGCACTTGGAAGCCTAAGGCAGGAAAATTGACATGAGTTCACAGCCAGTCTGGACTGCATAGTGATTGAAGGCCAGGCTGAACTACACAGTGAAATACTTTCGAAGAAGATGAAGACAAAGACGAAGGCGAAGATGAAGAAGAAGACGAAGAAAAAGAAGATGATTTTGGAAACCCACGCACTACACTACTCCACAGCTGTTGCTGTGAGCCAGTGTAGCTCTCAATGTTCCCGGGGGATGGACAGTGAGAGGACGGGAAGATAAAGAAAAGAGAAAAACTGAGGTCAGGTGGAGCCCTCTCTCCTGATGGGAGAAAAGGAACTGCCCAACCACTGTATGCACTCAGGGGGAGGATGTCAACTTCAACCCTTTTGCCTAGCAACTTGTTAGCCTGGTGGGCCTCGGCCTTGTGCCTTCTTGGAGCTGGAACAGCTTGGTCATGTGGCTTGCTTTGGGCTCTCCACGTTCTCAGGGCTGGCCTTTCTTAGGTGCTAAATGTATGATCGATCTCCAGCTTCTGCTGCTCCCTATAATCTGTACCTACAAATTGCTACCTGCTTTATGGAATATAAACTAACACTAGTTGATTACTATTGTTTTCAGCACTTTTCTAGGACTGTGTCATAAATGTTACCCCTTTGTCCCCTCAGGAACTGTTACAAGGTGGCATTTGTTTGCCTTCATTTTACAGATGAGAAAATTGAAGTTCAGTAACAGAACTAGGATTTGAATACTGACTTTAAAACTCTGAGGTTTCCCCTGTAATCCTATTCTGAAAACTAGGAGATCAGATGTAGACATTCACTGTGGATTGTGCATAACAAATGAATTTTCTCTTTTGTTTCTATAGACAATTTTTAAATTTTTTTTTATAGATAAGTGTTGATGCTCCATGTGTAGGTATCCTGGCAGCAGAGCTGTCTCTTTCATATTCCCATGGTGATTTTGCAATTGTACATCAAGCAGCCCTGGCAATGTATTACCTCCTCTCCATTGCAAAACGTCAGATGGGTAAGAATGGGTCACCATCTTTTCTACAGGTCGCTACAAATCTGTCTCTAATTCTTGTATTCGTAAGTACCTGGAAGGCTCTGTGTCTATGAATTTCTAAATCCTGCCTTACCATAGCTTTGCTTCCTAGGGTTTTGGTTTTGTTTTTTTTTGAGTCTGTGTGTATGTATGTGTGTGTTTTGGTTTGGTTTGGTTTTAGTTTTTTGAGGCAGGATCTCACTATGTAGTTCAAGCTGGCCTTGAACTCACAATGTAGCCCACGCTGACCTCAAATTTGGTTTTTGTTTTTGAGGTGTTTTTTTGTTGTTTGTTTTTGTTTTGGGGGTTTTTGTTTGGTTTTTTGTTTTTGGTGCTAGGAATTGAACTCATGACCTCATGCTTGCCAGGCAGTTACGGCCACTGAGCTGTATCCCCAGCCTCTAACTTGTCATCCTCCTGTTGAGTAGTGAGATTACAGACATGTACTACCATGCCCAGTGCTCACTGTTGTTGTTTTGAGACAGTCTTGCTTTGTAACTGAGGCCTCAAACTCATTATGTAGCCTAGGCTGGCCTCAAACTCCCAGCCATCTTTCTGCCTTAGCTTCCCAAGTGCTGGGGTTACAGATGTGCACCACCATGCCTGGTTACAGCTTCACTTTCTAAAGTGTTATTTCTTAAAGTTTTTTTTTAGCACACTACTTATGTAAAAAAGTAATCAGTTATTTCTACTGCATGGGAGACAGTATTAGTAGGTAAGGCAGGGACTAGAAGAAAATACTTGCAATTACATAGCTGATAAGCTATGTCCAGAGTTTAAAAAGAACATTCAAAATTCAGTAAGAAAAGGGGCTGGGGATTTAGTTCAGCGGCATAAGTGCTTGCCTTGCAAGCAGGCAGTCGTGAGTTCGATCCCCGGTACGGATAAAAAGCAAAAAGACAAAAAAAAAAAAAAAAAAAATCAGTAAGAAAAAAGATGGCCAAACCAAAAAATCATAACTGAAGTCATTTCACCAAAGGAATGCAGGTGGCAAAGGCACATCAAATGATGTTCAACAAACTGTATAGTCTTTAAATATAAGTAAATTAAAGCTACAGTGAGACACTGTTATTAATGCATTAGAATGTCTAAAATTGAAACCATACAGTGTATTATTTAGGATATGTTACTAAGGATGTGCTATTGAAGAAGTATAGCATACACTGTGTTGCTAAGTATGTATAACAACTGCAGCTCAAATACTTCCACATTGCTGATGGAAACTAAGTTAGCACTGTCCTAAAAAGTCAAACAAAAACTACCATATTATCTATTCATTCCACTACGTGGTATGTCCCTGAGAAAATGAAGGCAAATATTCATACAAACGGGGGCTGGGGATTTAGCTCAGGGACATAAGCACCTGCCTGGCAAGTGCAAGGTTGTGAATTCGATCCCCGATACCAAAAAATAATAATAATACTCATACAAACATTTGCATTTCAATGTTTGTTGTACCTTAATGTGTAACAGCCCCAAATAGGAAACAACACAAATGTCTATCCACAGGTGAATGTATAAGGAGGTTGTGACATAGAGAGGAGTATTCATTGGTTAAAAAAAAAAGGAATGAGTTCCTGATACATACGATGATATGGGTCAATCTCAATAGCTGTGATGAGTGAAAGGGGTCAAAAAGAGCACATGATTTACGACTTCACTTACATAAGATCGGTGAACCCAACCTTGGCTGCCCTGGAGTGAGGGGGCAGGTTGGAGGAAAAGGTTTGAAGAAGTACAGGGCAGGAAGAATGCTGGGGGCAAGAGACATGTTCATGTTTTGACTGTGACAATGTGTTCAGTTGGGTGCATATAAACACAGAACTTACTGAGTTGTGTATTTTAATTGTTGTATGTCAATTAGATCTCTGTACAGCTCTTAAAAAACAAAAGTCTTTGAAACCCACCTTTATTGGAACTAAAAACATCAGTAATCTGAAGCTTTTACTGAGAATTTCTGACTTTCCTGGGATATCATTCCTCAGCTCTTTTCAAAATGTCTCTGACTTTGTACATGGTGTGGTAAAGCATGGCTGTAATCCCAGTATTTGGGAGGCTGAGGCAGGAGGATCACCAGGAATTGGAGACCAACCAGGAGAATGCATAGTGAGACCTTGTCTCAAAACAAATAAACAAACAGCCTCCAGCTTTGCTCTCTGATGAATAATTTGGCAACAGTTTTTTCTAGTGCACTGAAGTCTACTGCGTTTGATGTTTAAATGTATATGGTATCAGTGAATCCATTAAAATTATTTATGTCCTTCATGCATATTTCACATGGCTTCCTTTAAATAGTTTATAAATTCTGGCTCCGTGCCATCATGATATTTTATGCGACTAAACTATCTGAACAGTCAAACATCTGAAAACTTCAGATCTCTAGAATTGGGCAGGAAAGAGAAGTTGGAAATAGCGATGTCATTATCAAATGAAAACCTGCAACCCTTTTCCTTAGTACAGAAGACTTCCAGAAATACAAAGCTACAATGCAATATGAGTGTGGAAATTACTGCTCCCTGATTTCTGATTCTGAATTCCGACAGGCAGTCTTGAAACACGACCAAACTAAACTTGCTCAGGTATCTCGGCCTCCACGTTATCCCATGGCTTTTCTTTCACGTTATTATTCTTAGAGGCAACCTCTTTCAACATAGTTTATGTTTTTCATAAATATTTTTTCATTTTAAAAATATAGTTGAGGCGAAGGGTAAATAATATACAGAGCACTTGGTTTCCTGATTTTTATCCCTATTAATAACAACAGTGCCTATTTTTCTCAAATATAACCATTTATATTATTTAGTGGTTGTACAACACTAATGAGTAGGTGTTTCATAGTTACATTTCTTTCTGTTTCACTAAAGCTGGGGAAATTCTGATTATTTAGCAAAATTAATGGAGTCACCAATCAAGAAGCTTTTCAAAACTATAGTAATTTATTTAGCAAAAATCAAAATGATACTTTGACTTAGATTTTAATTTAAAAGAACTACAAGAGTTCAAAACATGATAATTTACAGTCAAATCTTAGTGTCAGGTGGATGATTTCTACACTGTTGTATTCCCTATGCCCATGAAACTGTTCTGAACCCTCTCTCTCCCCGAGATCGATCCACAGGCTGAGATATCATGGAGCAAGGCCCAAGCCTGCTGTCAGTGGGTGGGGAGCTCCTTCAAGTTAGCTCATTTTATGGGGTGGGAGGGTCTAGGGGCTTCTCCTAAAACTCCATATATGTCAAGTAATGTTTCTCTTCCCATACTGAAGTGGTAGAAATTGTGGGAGGTTGAGAATTTGCTGAAGCAATGATACTTCATGGTACCAGCAGGTGGAACCCAGGACCTTTGTACTGAACTGCATCCCAAGTTTTTTTTATTTTTTATTTTTTTTTTAAGATTGGGTCTCCCTAAATTGCTATATTACCTAGGCAGGCAAATTTCCAGAGTACTGGGATTGTAAGGGTGTGCCAACACATCTGGCTCAGTCCTTGTGTTCTTAGTGAAGGTAGTAAGCCAACACACACACAAAAAAAGCTTTGTAGAAGTGAGAGAACTTACTACAAAAAGGAAGTGAGCCAGAACATACACCCTCATGGGAGAGGGCAAGCAAGTGCCAAGATGGCAATTGCTCCAAATAAAGGCTCAGGCTCCATTTATCTGATTCAGTAGACCTGCAGGGAACATCATTCCCTCCTTCCACAGTCATTATTCTGTTATAAGGACAAATGGGTTTATTTTGATTCACCTTAAAGAACCAGAAAGCTGTGTAGGTGGAATATTTCCATTTAATCATTTTGAATCCTGGCACTGGATCTTTTTTTTTTTCTTTAAAAACTATAATTTTTTATTAAGACTACAGACAAATAGATCAGATATTTATGTGTGATTTATAAAAATGCAAAAAAATTTTAGTATAATGGCACTGGATCTTATCAGCATGCTCAGAGAAGGGTATGTTCTTTTGGACATAGGTTAAAACTAAAAACTTGTTTGGATTATTTATAACTAATAATTAGGAGGGAAAATCCCATCTTCTTTGCTTTTCATGTAGTCTCCTCTTGTAATCTGCTGATGTCTAATTTCCTGCCTAACATTCCCTTCAACAAGAGTTCAGACCCTAAAATCACTTAGAGCACTAGAACGCTGTGTCTTTTTGTCTACCTCCTGCTAAGGAGAAGGAGTTAAGGTCCCTACTCTTTATTTTATTTTATTTTATTGTCTTTTTGAGACAGGGTCTCTCTATGCAGTTCAGGCTGGCCTTGAGCTTACTTTGTAGCCTGGGCTGGTTTCAAACTTGCAATGATCCTCCTGCCTCAGCCTCCCGAGTGCTGGGATTACAGGCAAGAGCCACCACACCTGGCTAAGGTCCCCACTCTTGCTGACTGTCATGCCTGGAGGGTCTATCACAGAGCTCCAGGTTTATATAAAGGTGAATCTTTGGGACATTGTGCCATGTGAAGATGAATAAATTGAACACGTAACTGTAAATCTCCTCAGGTTTCTCCTCTTGTTGATTGTCAGGACTTCATCATCCTTCTCCAGTAGGTCAGTGTAGAGGCCCTGTGAGGATGACTGAGATTTGGGATGTATTGACAGCTTGATATCCTTGAGAAAGTCTCATTTGTAGGGGTTTTTTGGTCTCAATTTTGGGTGATATAAATTTAACAAAGAGGTTAAGCAGGCCAAGAATACAGCTCAGCGGCACTTGCCTGGCAAGTGCAAGGTCATGAGTTTGTCCTCAGGATATCCCCCCTCTCAGTCTATCGGTGTGAATCACCACCCAGGAGTGTCCCTGAGTATCACTGTGCAGAGTTTTTGTTGGGCTGTTCTGACCTCAGCGCATGACTAAGTCATCGAGTATTCAGCCAGACTCCTCCTCCAGCACTCTGGCTGCTGTCACGTAGCCCAAAGCCCCAACACTCAGATCCCATAGTTGCTCTTTCTGGTACAGCCAGGTCCCATTCTGAAGCCAGTTAAGTGCCTCCATGAGTTGCCATCTTAGCATAAATTCGGAAGCCACCAAGAAGAGCAAAGAGTTTCATCTTGCCTCAGCCTCAGAGAGCTTTGGGTTTTAAAGGGTATGCCACCATGCCCAGCACACTTGTTTCTGATTTAGCAAATTTATTTTCAAAAGTGAAGAAGTTTACCACAATGCTTGAACAGTTGAGTTGTTTTAAAACCATGAGAAAAAAATTAAATCATTTTTAGATTGAAATCATCTTTATACTAACACTTGTAAAAGGGACCCACATAGCCCATGAAAATTTTGTGCTGTCCACAGGCCAAAAGTCACCTTTGTCTTCTTGGTTTTAGATTCTAGGACAAATTTTATTGCCCTCCATGCTGACAGACTTTGTGTTGCATCTCCTGACGAAACTCTCAACATCTGATCAAGATACGACAATCAGAGCAGCAGTGATACTGAAACTGACTCTGAAATGCCATGCACAAAAGATCACCAGGGTAAGGTGCTTGACAAAGTACTTGACATTTCCAAAGTGCATCTATCTCTTAAGCATTTTACTTCCCCTCCCTCTTTCTGTCTTCCCTTTCCCCCGTTCCAGGTCCCCTTCCCATCTCCAGAAATTTTACCTCCATTTTCTATCCATTTATTGCTCTTAATCATTTAAATTTGGGTTCCTCATATAGGAGAAACCATGTGATATTGAACCTTTCATTCTTGCTTATTTCGCTTAGCATTATGGTCTCAGGATGTACCCATTTTCCTAAAATGACTCAAATGTTTCCTTTTTATGGCTGAGTGGTACACCATTATAAATGAATATCACATTTCTTTATCTGTTCATTTGTTGATGGGCATACAGACCGTTTTGAAAATTTAGCTGTAGTGTAGTTTTGACTTTGTTACATGTCTATTTCTTTTCACACACATTTGTCATTGTTTGTTATGTCACTTTTATAAAATGAGGTTTTTTGTGAAATATTTCAAGCATGCAGGAAATTCTAGGGACTAATTTTCTTTTTTGTTTTTTGTCTTTTTTGTTTTTATCGGTACCGGGGATCGAACTCACGACTGCTTACAAGGCAGGCACTTATGCTGCTGAGCTAAATCCCCAGCCCCTAGGGACTAATTTTTACCTGCCAACCATACTAAAGTATAATATTTTATTATATTTGATTTAGTTTTTTTTTAAATAAATGTGCTAGTAACAATAACACAGCAGAGTCATGATTAAACCTCCTGGATAGCCCTTGAGTTTCAAGGACCTTCACCTTGATGCAGGGTGACTGGTTTGTGAGACTTAGTACAGAATGAAATATGGGACTGTGCCCTCATAATGTAGGGAGAACTGTCATCGAATGGCTAAGCTTGTGAAGTTCTCTCTCTCTTTATCCTCACTCAAGTCATCAAGGACTTCTTGTTTGCCATTTAATGTCTTTATAAATAAAAAAAAGAATAATTAAAATTTTAAATTACTAGTACAGATTTGCTATCCATGTTGTATTATCTAGTGCTAGTTGTAAATGTAAATGCAAGAGCATTTAGGTGGATGTGATGGTGCACTCCTGTAGTCCTAGTACTTTGTATCGCTCAGGCAAGAGGATCATGAATTTGAGCTCAGCTTGGACAACTTAGTGATTCAGCAAGACACTTTCTCAAAATAAAAAAATAAGAAGGGCACTCATTTCAGCAGCATATATCCTAAAATTGGAACAATGCAGAGAAGATTAGCATGGCCCCTGCACAGGGATGACAGATAAATTTGTAAAGCAGTCCATATTTTTTCACAAACATGAGCTAAATAGTAATAACAACAATAATAATGATAGTGAAGAACATAGGAGAAAAGGATCCAGAGCGGGAAAGAGAATCAAGGTCTGCTGAGAACATATATTTACTCCCTATAAATGTAAACAACATATACAGTAAACATGTACTAATAAAAACAGAACATTGATGTTAAAAACATAAAAAGATAAAATTAAAAGAGCTGAGGATATAGCTCAGTGCAAAGGATCTGGGCTCAATTCCCAGTACAAATAAATAAATAAGCGCATTTAACTCACGTATACAATCGCTAAAATAATGCAACTGATATTTCATACATGTGTATGGATTTCATTCTCTCCAGAAGCAGAAAAATAGAACACTACACAAAACTAACTCAGTTGCCAGGTATGGTGGCACACGCCTGTAATCCCAGCCCTTGGGAAGCGGAGGCAAATCTGAGGCCAGCCTGAGTTACATAGTGAATCCAAAGCCAGCTTGAACCACATAGTGAAACTTCCGTCTCAAAAAAACCAAAACAAAAAACAAAAAAAGCCTGACTCAGCTGTTTTTATTTCACTTCTTGTCATTCACATATTCTGTTAAAATTGTTTACCTCATTGGTGTGCTAGGAAAGACCCCAAAGCATGATTGCTGTTTGTGTTGCTGTCATCATGTGTAAACTGTAATGAGCAGAGATTGACGCATTTGCACTGCTGCAAATGGGGAAGAACGCTTCTTGATACAGCAAGAGAAAGGGCAGAGCAGAGAGGAGGGAGCCACTCTCCTCCTTTTAAGAAGAACCTCCCCTTCCAGTAACTAACCTACTTTTGTAATAACCACATTAATCTGGGCAGGCGGGGATTCAGGAGAGGGTACTGGGAGTTCAGCCTCCTGTCCCCATCAGGGTGTGCTCCTGGGCCTGCGTCCTGTACATTGCACAGGGCTCCAAGTCAGATCCCCTCAACTTTGTTTAGGGTTCTGTGGTTGCCATCTTGAAAGTTTTAATGATTTTTTTTCTTGGGGTTTGTGTTTTATAAGCTAAGCCCATGGGACAATGGAGCTTAGAATACACTTGCAATAGTAGAGTCTTCTGTGGCTCTTGTGGCCCCCGTCATTAGAGCGCTCATGACGACTCATGCACCTGGAATTCAGTGAGGTGTCAGAAAGCTCCACCAGGACGGCCACTTAGCTGAAACAGTGATGGCACAGAAGGCCAGAGAATGATAAAATGCCATGAACCGTATGTGCCCTCCAGGCCTCAACACTTGCTTTGTGGATGAAGTTCCTGACACATGAGAGGACTGGGTGTGGGGCCCTGGCCGCCTGCCCAGATTAATGTGGTTAATCGACTTAAATGATCACCACAGCTCTCACAAACAGTGAAACTACTGAATAAAGTATATTCCTAAAAGGAGTTAAAGTCGGTTATAAGGAAAAATTGCATTTGGTTAAAAATGTCCTGAACGTCTCCTAAATTTTACAAACAACACATAGGCTTACAATCGTTAAGTAAATCTAGTGCATTAAGTCTTTCTTTGGGAATTCAAACAAACCACCCTTCCTGTAGTTGAGCACACAGTGACAGAGCTTGTTTAGAGATTTCCTACATCTAAAATAGGAGAACAACCAGGAAGGCCTAGAAGTGAAGAGGTCCTGGGAGCACCTCACACCTCAGTGATTTTTCTTTTGTTTTATTGATGTAAGACAGAGTCCATGCCGAGGTAGAATTCTCTTTGTTCAAGAGTATACAAATGGGAAAAAAATTTTTAAAAAGTTAGCGTGGGACTTGTGAGTAGAGCATGCGAGACTACAGTTCAAAGGTTCAGTGTTTCACCATTCCCTCCTTCGCCTGTCCTTGGCTCAGTACATGCGTGACTTCAAACAGTCTTTACTTTTTACAAAGTTGTTTTGGCATAAATTCTTTCATTGCTATTCTACTCAATTGTTTTGAGTTTCTTCTTAAAGGATTTGGACTAGGTATGCATTTTCTATTACTAATCTACTTCTTATATAATGAAGACTAGCCTCTTGAAACAAGTATCCCAATATCCATAACTACACAGCTTAATTCTTCATTTAAATAAGCGTTTTGCATCATGTAAGTAAATATACTTTCTGCTTGTATTTCTTGTGTATTAATTGCTATTATGCTCATACCAAGAGAGACTGGACTGTTACACCCAAGAAATGGCTTGATATCAAAGTGACCACAAAGCAGACTTGTTGACCTGCAAACTTTCTCTTTCAGGTGTCTCAGATGGTGAACACTATTCATAAGCAACTGAATGGAAATCCTTCTTACTTTGTAAAGGACGTCCTGTTGGAGGTTGTCACCTTGTTAACACAAATATCACCCAAAGGTGTCATCTTTCAGCTCGTGGACTATCCAGTCCCAGCAGACAGGTATGGCCTCCCTCACCCTTGTCATGTTTGTTCACCAGCTCACAGGCAGAGTGACATGGGCTCAAGTCTTGGGCTGTCTGGTTTCTTTTTTGAGATCTATTTTTGTGCCATATAGATGATTGTAAGACTTAGATACTGATAGAGGGAAAATGCTAGATGTCAAATACACTGAGTTCATGCTCCCCCAAGTCGAAGAATGAATTCTAAGGAACAATGGAGGTTAAGAGTAGGAAAATTTATCGAAGAAAAGAATGCAGAATAGGAATAGCTCCTGAGAGACAGGAGGGGTCCTGAATGAGCCTGCTTCTCAAAGGAGGTTTTGTAGAGCAAAATCATGAGTCGAGTACAACATGGGTCAAAATTATGATCAACCAATAAGACTGCAAGTAATCACTTAGGTCATATTGATCGAGTTATAGCAAGGACATATGGATGACATCATTAACCTTGGATGGTAATCTAGTTTTAGCTTTGTCTTTAGTTTTGTCTCCCCCGCGCCTTGGTACCAGGGATCAAACTCATGACCTCACGCTTGCCAGGTAGGTGCCTATGCCACTGAGTTAAATCCCCAGCTCCAGTCTTAGTTGTCAAAGGCTTTTAGTCTTAGTCTTAGTCATGTAAGAGAGGATAGCTGCCCCTAACGAGACAATTGGGAACTCTCAAAACGGTGATACCAATAATTGCAAACCTTCATTCATCCTTTAGGAAAGTATGTAAATCTAGCCATTGTAACTTTAATCTTCTTCAGGTGTACCTCCAGCCACAGTTTCCATGTATTCTCATCTTCTGCACTGACTTCTGAGGGCCCAGCCCTGTCCAACTGCCTACAACATTTCTACCTAACTTAGCTGTTTATAATAACACAATCACAAATGCTATTCATGCTTTGGCTAATAACTAGCACATAGTGGGCCCTCAAGACATGATCAGTGTCATCTTTAACTGAGGCTTTTGATTATGTTCTGTTGCATATCCTCCAGGAACAAACCTGTCCTCAAAGTGAGAATAGATTTTTTTTCCCATTTGGTGAATTTACTCTTTTTTTCTAAAGGAAAACAAAATCCACACATAGAGTGGTTTCTTTTCTTGTTTATTAAGAGTAGACATAAAAGATTTCTATCCACCAATAAAAAGTGAGACATTAAAAATTGCCAAATATAATTGGAAGTCTCCTGTCCCTTGATTGTTCATCTGAAATTCGTGGTCCAGGATCATAAGAAATATTTACCAAAAAAATGCTAATGTGAGCCAGTGGAACAGTATGACTCTAATGGATACAGTGCATTAGAACTTCAAAAACCACATCCCTCTACTTCTTGCTCATGTACTGGGAAGATATAACTTCCTATGCAACAGTGCTTGCCACAGGACAGCCAATATTCAGAAGAGAGCCTGAGTGTGGTGGTGCATATCTGTAATCCCAGTACTTGGGAGGCTGAGGCAAGAGGGTTGCCAGGAGTTCAAGGCCAGCCTGGGCTACACAGTGAGTTCAAGGCCAGCCAGAACTGCATAATGAGGACTTGTTTCAAAAAACAAACAAAAAAAGTTAGACAGAAGGGAGACTTGATAGGATGAAAATCAATCAGGTTTTATTCCAAATGGCCAGGCTCTTATCCTAATAATCATTTCAAAGAATTCAGAATACAAAGAGTCTTTCTGGGCAGGACAACAGGGCAATAGACTGTGTTCCGAGTTGATTATCCAACCTCTGGAGAGTCATCTTTGTCACTCAAGGGATGTTTTCCTTTCTTTTAGTTAGAAAATCCCTGTGATTACAGATGGTTTTTCCTCTCCTTGGCAAATCCTGTAATCCTTTAGATTAACACCTTATTCTTATGCAAATTAAACATTACTCTTCTTTTGATTAGAAAACAGGATAAGCAAGACCTTCTAGCCCTCATTTTGATGTTATTTGAAAAACACCAGGGAGGCAGGGGTATGGGGAGGTGTATTGTGGAACTTGCCTGTAATCCCAGCACTGGCTCACAAGGCCGAGGCCCAGTTTGAGGCCAGCCTGGACTACAAAGTAAATTCGATGTCATCCTGAACTACATAGTGACATCCTGTCTCAAGGAGGGGGCTGGGAGCCAAGATTTGGAGTTTAAGCTAAACTACAGAAAAGAATGGAAAATCTGACCAGCCACAGGAAGTGAGAAAATGAGACCCAGCAAATGAAACTTGGTGTCCACGTGGTTCTCAGCATGAGTCCTGCAGGAAGGACTAGCTGGGTACTAGGTTCTACAGAGCTGGGTATATCCATGTTCTGAAGGACAAAGCACTCCTGTTAGGAGCCCAACTACAAAAAGACTGAATGGTGGATCAGTGTGGTTTCATAAGACATCAAGATTCTACTGACACCAAGATGTGAAGCAGTTTAAAATGATCAATAGTCAGTCTACTCACGAAGTGAAGCGTGGCCATGTGGGAAAGGAAGGAGGGGACCAGAAATCCTTACATCAGAGCTCCAAGCACCTGGTGTTACTCATTAAACATGTGGCCTTTGGCAATATGCTGTATGCCTCGGAGCTCAGGTTTTCTTTTGTTGTTGTTTATTTAGGTTTTATATAAATTTATCTGTATATTGATGATTAATTCATATTCACATATCAATCTTTAAATATATCACTATTCCTGGACAAGCAGGCTCGCCTGGTGGAGGAGCAGAGTACAACATGCAGAAAATTGACCAGTTTTTGACATTTAGTTAGATATAAATTTAAATCTCAGCAAGAAATGAACTCACAGACTTTCAGACTGTATTTACCACATGCTGTCACTGAAAATCTTGGTCTGTTTTTTTCATTTGTTTGTTTGGGGTACTAGGGATCAAACTCACAACCTCGTGCTTGCCAGACAGGTTCTTGTGCAGCTCAGCTAGATCCTCGGTCCCTATTTTTAAATCCCCAGCCCCTGTTTCTCTGTTTTTGAGGCTAAGACACTTAGGAAATCATTTGTACATGAGGATCTCAGCTCATTTTGGACTTGTCTGTACTGTTTTTGCTCTATTAAAAATAAGATACATGTCACTGTGTTTAGAATGGTCTATAAAAATGTGATCCGTGGCGTGGGGCTGGGGATTTAGCTCAGAGCATAAGCGCCTGCCTTGCAAGTGCGCGGTCTTGAGTTCAGTCCTCGGTACCGATAAAAAATAAATGTGATCCATGTCACTGAAGTAGAGAATGATCAACTTAGACTCTGCTTGAGTTCACAGCACTTTGTGTTTTGCAGGGCTCTGATGATGATGTGGCAGGCAGTGGGCATCAAGCCACAAGTTGCCCCGCAAGTGCTGAAAGCAATCCTCTTGGTGTTGAAAGACAAGCCTTGGGAAGTGGTGGACAGCCTGCAGGAAGAGAAATACTTCGTTCTGGATACCACCAACATGATGCCTCTGGCGGTGATGACCACAATGAGTGTTTCTTCCCAGTGTTGTTTTCCTCCCTTGCTGATCCTATTTGTGCAGACTTAGTCTTTCCCCTACATAGTTTGCCCTCATCTGTCCACTCATTCAGCACAAACCTGTTGTGTGCCACGCCCTGACCATAGGGCTTACATTCTGCTAAGAGACAGAGACGAGAAAGACATGTGTGTGTCAGATGTCAAAAGAAATCTAAGACAGTGTGGAGGGAAAGAAACTGACAGGGATGGTATAGGTGTCTTGGTTGGGTGTCCAGCCTCCCTGATGAGGTGACATCTAATCGGACACCTGCATCAGGCGAGAGTGATCCTTGGATATACCCAAGAGACAGGAAGGAGACCAAAAGCCCCGTGGGAAGGGAGGTCAGTGAAGGCATGTGGCCTGCAGAACAGGTAAGCTGAGCAAGGGAAAAGTAGAAGCCATGACGCCAACGAGGCAGTGGCTAGCTGTCTTATACAGTTTTATAGAGTGTGAAGGCCTAATTTCACTTCTGTCCATCATTATGTGTCTCCCAAAGACCCAAATCATCATGCCTAGCAGTAAATTCAGGTCTTACAGAAATATAATAGAACAACCTGGTAGGGTGGAGCACACTACAATTCCTCACTCAGGAGGCTGACGCAGGAGGATTGGTGAGACTTCCAGGTCAGCCTGCACTACAAAAAAAGACCCTGTCTCCAAAAAAAGAAAAAGCAGTCAGTATACCAAAGGATCTGTGGACAGCCTGGCCCTCCTCCCCTCCCCTTACCTGCCCTACTTCCCTGGATCCTTTGAGAACAGAAAGGGCTATTCTTCATGTCCACTTATGAAGGGAAACTTAGGATGTATATCCTCTTGGGGACCAGGTTGTTTCTCCCTGGTCTGGCAGCCAGGGACATTCAGTTGTGCTCTGGAAGGAAACACCTTGCCTGAGAGCGCTTTGCATGGTTCTGGAGCACAGCTGGCTTAGTAACTCAATGAGAGAATATGTGAGGAAGGTTACAGGGTCCCAGTCTTCCTTTCCTTGGTAAGAGTGGGTTTACAGGGATAAGCTTCCCTCTTTAATACCCTTTTCCTTCCCTTGCAGGCATCCCAGGCCCTGTGCATACTTTTGCCTATAAAGTCATATAAGCAAACAGTGGCCCAGTTTTTTCCTGAACTCTTGGTAGCCCTCATGCTTCAACTCCTCCACATCCATCAGCTGAGAGTGCAGACAAAGGACAGGCCTCTGTGAGAGCACTGGTTAATTCAGATCCCGTGTGAGAGGAGCCGCTCCTTTGCGTTCATGTGGGGTTTGTGCACTCCTGGGTGTGGTGCATTCAAACATAATGTTCTGTCTTCTGAAAGACAGATGTCTTCAGAAAACTAACCATCCCGAGGACCTGGATGTCACATAGCATGTCCCTTGTGTGTGTACACAGCATAGAATGAACCACAACTATAAAACATTGTTCATTCTTTTTTTTTCATCAGCCGTAAAATGTGTAACATTGTTCATTCTTACTATGTTCCCTGTCCCATCTATAAAGGAGGAGCGTTAGGTCACAAACCACACTCTCTCTCTGACGGCAACCTCCCAAAGCTATTGTACATATAAATCAAGGTGCACAAATGTGTGTTGGGGACTCAAAAGCTGTTTCATGGTTGAGAATGGGATGTGAGGACTTACAACATGAGTCCTCTGTCCTTATGGGGAAAAGTTTAGGATTCCCTTTTGCCCAAGAGAACAAGTTGCTTGCGCTGCCCTCCAGAAGACACTCAATGCAACTGTCAGCTAATTGCCTTGCCTGATGTGGACATTGAAGCCTGACAGAGCTCTAAAACATGGTTTTATTAAGATACAGAATCTACTCCTCATGCTTTAAGAAGATATATATACACGTAATCACTCTGAGTAGAGGAGAACATGTCCTATGCATTAAAGGCATTCTTTGAAAGAAAACTGACACCTTTTGCAAGTTACTATTTTTTGAAATCTATTGCAAATAAGCTAATAAATTAGTAATGTACTCTGTGATTAATCCTAGCTTTTATGAGCTATAATTTTAATTTTTAAAAAATCTTTAATTTAACCACCTGTCCCATGTACTACTAATCAAGGGAGATGAAAGCTTTTGGTCATCTCCTCACTCTGGAATATCCCATTTCTCAAAATCGGTACTGTAGAAAGCATATGTACTTGGGTATGTGAAAGTCATTGTCCCAGGATGATGCTCTTTTTTGGGTCCTTACAGCTACGCCCAGGAGGCACTGAGACTTCTGCTAAATTGTTCTGGACTGCAAAAGGTGGATATTACTCTAAAGAAAAGTTTCTACTGGAGTCAAGCTTCCCTCACATATGCTTACTATGAAGGGGTCCATCTCATTGTCAGGTAAGAAAGAGGGCTCTGGGTGAGATTCTTGGTCTCTCCATCTTCCCTCAAGTAAGACCCCCAGGAACACAGGATCTATTTCAATTTTTAAATGTCTTAATTATTTAAATTACCATTTGATTTCTACACCTTCACATATTTAAAGAGGTTTTGTTTTGTTGAACCCATGACCTCGTGCTTGTCAGGCAGGCATTTAAGGCCCTTCAAGAGGCTTTATTGAGGGCTGGGGATTTAGCTTAGCAGCATAAGTGCTTGCCTGGCAAATATGAGGTTGTGAGTTTGATCCCTGGTACCCCCCCCCCAAAAAAAGAGGTTTCATTTGAGAATATTTCCCCAATATTTTCCTTCCCTGTTACTTGATGACCTAATTACTCTCATACTATAGAACACATTTGTCTTCTTGATACAGGACTCAAGGTGAATCTGGATTTCTTCCCTTCTAGAATTTAGCTGACATCAGATAGTTCTGCAGCCTTGTTTAAAAGAGTCCCAGTAAAGACCTGTGTTCAATGAACCAAACAAATTCAGGGAGCTAGAGAAAAAAGAATTTTATGTTTTCTTTTACCGGAAATGGGAGTTTTTTCACTTGTCCTTTAATGAATAGCAAGCTTCTCCAATTGTAGGGATCAAATTTTCTGATTAAGAATTAAGATATAAACCTGGCATGATGGCAGGCATGTAATCCTGTAATCCCAGCACTCGGGAAGCTGAGGCAGGATTGTTGCCAGTTCAAGACCAGCCTGGGCTCAAAGACCAGCCTGAACTACACAGTGACATCCCATCTCAAAAAAGGCAAAAAAAAATTAAGATACAATGACTTGTCAGCATGACATACTGTTACATTGTAACTTTATGGTTCATGGGTTCCTGGTGCTTCTAAAAATGGCATTTTTCTGAGTGTGGTGGTACACACCTATAATCTTAGCACTCGGGAGGCTGAAGGAGGAAAATCACTGTGAGTTCGAGGCCAAACTGTGTTACACAGGGAGTTGAAGGCCAGCCAGGACATACAAGACCCTGTCTCAAAAACAAAACAAAAAAGTCATCTCATTTGTACTTGTGTTTCCTAAACACATCTCACTGTGTAAAAGTGTGTGCATCTGCATGCCACAAGTGGTCACTAGCTCAGTGTCCACTCTGTACTTGGGACCTTCAGATCTTCTTAACCAAAGTTTGATCTATAAAGCAGCAAAGCCCCATCCAGGGGTTGATTAAGAGCATGGTGTTAGGGCTGGGGATTTAGCTCAGTGGCATAAGTGCCTGCCTTGCAAGCAGGAAGTCATGAGTTTGATCCCTGGTAGGGATATTAAAGCTCTTGAAGTCCCTCCTGAAGCCTTGAAATGGAAATTTTGCCACATCATCCTTCCCAATTGCACTTTGCCAATCTGATTCAGGTCTGTGTCGGGACAGCTCTGAGCCTGACCTCTGTGTGTGTGTGTGTGTGTGTGTGTATGTGTGTGTGTGTGTGTGCACGCGCGCGTGATGTAATGAATCAGCCCTCACAGCCTCTTGTAAGTTTTTTGTGGTACTTAGTCCCAGACTCTCTTTGTCATTGTATTACTCACAAGAGGAATGAGATCAAACTGCAAAGGTGACCTGCATAGATAGCTATTGCAAGTTGACCTTTAGCTATTTACTACTTCTCCGTCTGGTCAAGGATTGATGGGAGATTGTACCCAAATAGGACCTTTGGCTGTGTGGGAAGGGATGTAAGACACAGGAAAGGGAAGTGACACTAAGGAAAGAAATGTGGGCAGAGGTCCAGGTATATATAATCCCCCAAAGATGGAGTAGAATTCATGGTGAGGCTGTCGTTTACCTTGGATTAGGAAATACTAGGAATATCTTCTTTTTTTATTCTGGGAGGTGAAAACTATGAGGCTAGTGTTCATCTTTTTTTTTTTTTAGAGCTAAGAATTAAACCTTGAACCTAGGGCCTTCACACTGAGATATGTCCCCATATATGTATTTTTAAAATTTTTTTTAAATTTTGAGACAAGGTCTCACTAAGCTGTCAAGCTAGGTTTGAACTTGCAGTGCTCTTGCCTGAGGCACCCAGAGTGTTGGAATTACAGGCGTGCACCATCACGCCCGGGTTATCTCTGCATCATCATCAGTGTTTGCTGACACAGCGCATGTTTTCTTCTTTGCTAATTCAGTGCCTCCTTCTCCTTTACAGAACTCTCTGTGATTATAACTTCCCACAGTTTCTAGAAACCTTGTATTATCTCCACAAGGTCTTAGTGCAAGGCCCTAGGAGGCCAGAAGAGCATATCATCATAGTAATATTCTTCATCAAAGTAAGTTTTAATAGGAAACTATGAATAACACAACTGTCATTTTCTTTTCTTACCTAAGTTTAACACTCTAGCATCTTGTCTCCCCTTCAGAATATCTGTTTTGACCAAAGTTTAAAAGAGAATGAAAAGATACCTGAGGATGGGGAGGGAGTAATGGGATGAGTTACACCTGGATTATGGGAGAGATGCCCCTTTAGTTTGCTGTAGAAGTTGGCTTTTTTCTTCTAGAGAGTGTGGATTTGCACAAACATTATTTTTATAGTGTCAATTCATATATTTTGCATGTCTGCTAAAGCATAGCAAGGGTAACTGGGTTTTCCAAAGGTAGTAAGTGACATCTGGGCCTACATGATAATTCACTCTTTTAGGAATAAATAGGAACTGTCCAAACAACTGGATAAAATTAAGATGTGGAGGCATAATAATTTGAATATAAATAGTAAATTACATACTATAATGTCATAGTGAAATCAAGCATATTGAGGAAGTCCTTTGGTTTATAAAACAAGGTTGCATAAATTGAAATTATCTAATTCAAATGAAATTATCTAATTCAAATTTTTCTATAAAAGTCATATTGTAGAGGTGTGATGCCCAACATTTTTTTTAAAAATATGAAATGATTTCAAACAATATAGCAAAATAGTTTATTAAAGTTCTTACACACTAAATGGTGTACCTCTAAAGTTTTCCGAAGTGTGTGTGAGTCAACTTAACACCTCACTTTCTCCAACGGGCTTAATCTTTTTGCCTCTCATTAGTTTTATTTTGTAACTCAATATTTTCATTGTAGTCACATTTAAGTAACTATTAAATAGTCCTAAAGTGGACAGAAATCAAGTCGCCTATAAAATGATATATTCAAAAGTAATTTACAGCTGGGTGTGGTGGCTCACACCTGTAATCCCAGCACTCGGGGGGCTGAGGCAGGAGGATCATTGCGAGTTCGAGACCAGCCTAGGCTACAAAGTGAGCTCAAGGCCAGCCTGAACTGCACAGCGAGACCCTGTCTCAAAAAGACAAAAAAAAAAAAAAAAAAAAAAGTAATTTACAAACTAAATAAGATTTATATTGGCATCATCAATGATAGTTTAAAGAGGGTCATTTAGTTTCCAATGATGTAAAGAAACTATCAAAACAAGAACAAAGCAAAGCATCTTTTCCTTATCTGAGTGCTGTGTGCCCCACCTCTGCGTGCCCAAGGTTATATGCAGGAATGCATGTAAGTACTTGGGAGGTTTGTGTGACTCGGAATACAGTCCCAACTTCCATGACGGACAGAAACTGTGCCCTTTGGCCTGACTCCACTCATTAACTGGCTTTGTTTTGTTTTGTTTTGTCAGATTCTGGATAAGTTCTTCAAGGACCCACTTCCAGAATTATTTTTGATCTTCCTCAGAAACTGGATCAGTGATTCCAACCCTGAAATTAGCATATTAAGCCTTCAGAAAATCACCAGCATGGCCCCAGTTATCAATAAGGTATATGGGTGGAATTTGTGTCTGGCAGCACTTTTGAAGTCATAACCTGCATTTTAATATTGCTCGGTGTCTTTATAATAAAACATTGGTTTTTCTTTAGTTTCTATATAGTCAAAACCATCTCATGTTTTTGTGGTAAGAAAACTGTTGAATGGAGAGGATGTAAGCCACTGTAGTGGCTTCATTATCTTTCTTATAATTTTTTCCATAAAGTCATTTATTGTATTCAGAATTCACTTATTATCATGGCCCTACATAAACACTTTCCTTACAGACCAAACCAAGAGTAAATGAGTTTATTTCCCAGCCACCATACACAGCGTACTCATCGATTCCCATCTCCACAGCCCGGCTCTAGTCTTTTTCCTTTGCTCATAGCACTTCTCCCTGTCACCAGTTCAAGCTCACATTTTTCTCTTTCTTCAGTAATGATTCCTAGGGGACTCACTCCTTCAGAGCCATGCCAATTTATTTGTTATATTTTATATTGATGACCTTCTTGACCACCAGTATCAACATCAGCTGGACACCTAGACCTGCAGCTGTTGGCCCACTGCCCCCAGAGTCAGGGGTTCTGTACTGGAGCCCACTAGTCTGTGTTTTAAAAGGTCCTCAGGTGACTCTAATGCCAATTCAAGTCAAGAATCAACATCTTACATCATTTCTTTCTGAATCATGTGATTACTTTCTATTTTTCCAAATCGATTAAATATAATCACATCACTACATTGTGTTATTGTTGCTTGGGGTTTCTTAAATTTGTTTTGTTTTGCTTTTTTGAGACAAGGTCTTACTTTGTAGTGCAGGCTGGCCTCAAATTCACTAGGAAGCACAGGTGGGTATCAAACTCTTGGCGATCCTCCCACTTCAGCCTCCCAAGTGCCCTGCCACACCTGGCTACCTCTATTGAATTCCAAATTCCAAAATATCTTGCACAATGCTGCAATTTTAGACACTCCATAAATCATTGCTGATTTAATGATAATTCCCTGCCTCTCCCTTGAGCATAGTCTCTGAGACCTGAAAGCCTGTCCGTAGATCTCATTTTACACTGAAATAGACCTCACCTATGGCTCTTTTGCCTTAAGTGAGTCATACAAGTCCTGGGATTATTAGTAGTGTACAGTCTTTCAGGAAGCAGTAAGTGATTTATTGCTTTGTCCAGTGGTCTTTCCAATGCTGTTAACAACTGGAAGGGAGATTCTGTGTCCAGGACGGCTACAAGCGAGAGAGAAGTATTGGGGTGACCTGGACTGAGGTTTTGCTACTGAGCAGCCAGACACACGTAGCCACCAGCACTGAGAGAGGCCTGAACTCCGTTTTATCTCCTTAAAGCTACTATATTGGCAAATAATGAGTGATGTGAACGCAAGACTGAGTGGGCACCCGTGTGCCGGCTCCTCAGGGGTGTGAGGCCTGAGCACAGCCCTAGGACTGAGGCCATGCAGGGGCAGGGCACCTCCATAGCACTTCCTTCCATCAGTCCATCTTTGGCTACACGACTGGTTAGAGAGATCTGAAACCTTCAAAAGGGCATGAACTTCTTGCTAAAGTGAACACCCTTCTGCCATGTGGAAAAAGAAATACATGCAAAATTCATTTGTGACATGGACTTCAACTGGCAGGCTCAGGTCTTGTTGGCATTTCAAGGAACTGTGGGAGACCACTGAGTCGTGCTCTTCTGAGAAATGAAGCCCTTGCCTCAATCCTTTCCTGACCTCTCCTTCATCTCTGTTCACTGAGACATGCAGAGCTGACTATATTAAAACAAGTGTTCCCTTAACTGGGTAAAAAAAAAAAACGTGATCAAATCTGACTGAGATGCCAACTTACCTCATTGCACCACACGGGGAAGAATTGACCCCTGCTGAGGCTGGAATAGGGGCTTGAGCAGGAGGCTGTGTGAGATCTCTTAGCTGAGGCCATGGGATTCAATAAGAATTACACCTCCCTGGCAGTAAAGGTGCCAGCCTTGCATACATCAAACTATTCAGTGCATGGCTAATTGGAGAGCCTTTATGCCTGGTACCATTGCTCTGTTTCTCCTTACAGTCAATCCCTGCAAAGTTTTTTTTCCCTAGCACTCTGCCAAGACCCCCACTCACCTCCCTGATCGATACCAATAAAAGTCATAAGTTTTTGGACTCATGACCTTTTGTTCCACAGACAACGTTGGCCATCCCAGAGCACCTCATCTGCACAATTTTCCCTTTGTCTTTACTTGCGTCCATGTGCCATATTGCTGGGTGGGAGACCTGAACCTCCACAGGGGTTTGGGTAAGGAACAACAGAAACCTCTTTAGTTCACCTCCTTGAGGATGGATGCCTCCTTACACACTGCCAACTCCTCTCTTCACCAGGACCTGCAGCCAGCAGCTGAGACTACAGTCCTTCAATGGGCACTTGGACTCTGGAGCCACCACTAGATCCAGTGGCATGTGAGATGCTTCTTGGACTCTGCTGCCTCTGAGCAGTATGTGCCTGTTGCTTTTGAAATTTTCTTTATGAAGAAGGCTGCATGGCTTTGCTCTATAAGAGGTGTCACATGGGACAGCCAGTATAGCCACAAAGACCTGAAAAGTATTTACAGATAAAAGAATGTCATCACTTTTAGTTTGTGAATTATTCATAAGACTGTTTAAGGATTTTGAAGAATCAAATTGAAGACATAGGGGTAGGTAGAGAATTCATGAACAGGAATCTAACCACGGGAACTACTTCCCAGAATCAATAGCTGGGATCACATCTTATTATTAAAAAGTTTCTGCATGTCAAAAGAAATCTCCAGCATAGTGAAAAGAAAACCCACAAACTGGGAAAAAATCTTAGTGAACTGTCCCTCAGACAAAGGACTTCTGTCTAAAACATATGAAGAATTTTTAAAAATCAGACCCCCAAAATTCAAGGACCCCATCCAAAAATGGGCATCTGAGATGAATACACAGATCTCAGATGAAGAAATACAAATGGCAAATAAGTACATGAAAAAATGTTCATCATCATTAGTCATTAGAGAAATGGAAATTAAAACAACACTGAGATTCCATCTGACTCCAGAAAGAATGGCCAGGATCAAGAAAACTACCAACAATAAATGCAGGAGAGGGTATGGGGGAAAAGGAACTCTCCTGGACTGTTGGCAGGAGTGTAGATGGGCACAACCACTGTGGAGGTCACTCCAGAGATTCCTTAAAAAGCTGGGATTGGAAGTCTTATTTGTTCCAACTATTCCACTTCTAGGCATATTCCCAGAAGAACTGAAAACATCATACCACAGTGATATATGTGCACCCATGTTTATAGCAGCACAATTTGTAATAGCCAGATCTTGGAAACAACCTAAATGTCCATCAACTGAGGAATGGATAAAAAAGTTGTGGTATTTTTATACAGTAGAGTACTACTCAGCTATAAATAAAGAAGAAAGAAGATATTTATAAATAAATGGGGGGGCTGGGGATTTAGCTCAGTGGCATAAGCACCTGCCTTGCAAGCAGGCGGTCGTGAGTTTGATCCCCAGTACCGATAAAAAGCAGCAAATAAATAAATGGGCACAACTCGAGATCATACTCATAAGTGAAATAAATCAAACTCACATGTATAAATATCGTATAGTCTCCCTAGTGTAAGAAATGATAAGAGTACATAAGAGTTTATGGTAATCATGATTTCCCATCACATTGCTTTGAAGCCTTATAATGTTTTCATTCATTAGTTGGAATGGTTTTAATCTGTTTTGTTTGATTTTATTATCTGTGATGGTATGAACAGCTATTTTGAAGAAAACAAGTCATTATAATAGCCAATGCTGATTTAATATTATCTTACTCTGAAGTCCTACCACGCTTCTGCTCTTCTGTTTCCTTTGGTTCTATCATGTTGTATCTTATGCAATTGTATTATGTGTGATAGTTTAAACAAATTTTCTGTGGAAAATGAGATAATATAGTAACCATTGTTCGTTTTCTGTTATTTGGTTCTGAATGCCCTGTAATACTTTCATTCTCTTTAATGGTTTTATACTATCTTGTTATATTTGATACTATTATATATGAAGTTATGTTCAACTATTACAAAGAAAGAGACATTATGGTAGCCACTGTTAATTACCGGTTGTCTTCTGGTGAAATACTGTGTTGCTTACATTATTCTGTTCTGATCTGCTTTGTTATGTCCTGTTTTGTCTTAATCTCATTAAAATAAAAAAAGATTTAAAAAAGAATCAAATGTACTGTGTTAAGACAGAAGACTATTTACTTCTTATTTTAGATCTCTGTCTTTTTTTTTTTTTTTTCCTATATGTGCCAGGGATTGAACTCATAACCCTGAGCTTTCCAGGCAGGCACTTATGCCTGCTGAGCTAAATCACTGGCCTCATCTTGTTTTAAATCTTTTTGTAGTATAATCATTTTTTAGCAAATGTAAATTTTTACTTTTATTTAAAATACAAGGGAAAAGTATCAGCACATTGCAATTAGTTGCATGGGATGGCTGGCCAGGCACTTCTAGCATACAGATATATTCCTTTGGATTAATTTTATCATTAGCACTTATCAATAAATGTGTGCTTTTTCAAAACAAGAAGAGTGTGGTGGCATACATCTGTAATCCCAGCACTCAGGAGGCTGAGGCAGGACGATCACCATGAGTTTGAAGCCAGCCCAGTCTACATAGTGAGTTCAAGGCAAGTCTCCACTCTACAGTGAGATCCTATTTCATAGAAAAACAAAACAAATAAATAAAACCCTGAGGTGAAGAACAGAAGAATCTTTTTTGTTTGTTTTCTTTTCTTTGTGCTGGGATCAGTCAGAGGGCCTTGTGCCTTATGCATGCTAAACGTATGCTTCGCCATGAAACTACAGCCCGTGCCTGAAATGAAAAAAAAAGTCTTTAAATCTTTGATTTCTCCTAGTAAATTATGATCAAAATATTAAAATCATTCAGAAATCCTGATTCATAGAACTTAACATTTTATGTTTAACTGTGAATCACAGAAGATGTATCATATCAGTCCAGAACTTTAAAGTGCTCTTTCAATGTTTTTACACATATTTTTATACCTTCTTTTGGAGAAATAATAAAAATAATTCTTTAATGAAAAAAATTAAATGAAATTAATATTGTAGCATACAGAGATTATATTGTATTTTTGTATCTTAACATTGAGTCCTTTGGGTTCTATCCCCAGAAGTGTCAAAAACATGTTTAAAAGGCTGAACTTTAAATTCCTCTTTTGTACAGTTGGTAAATAGCCACAATTTTAAAAAAGAAAATTGAAGCATGTGATTTTGCTTCTGATGGTGCAGAGATGGGCAGTGGATGAAAACTTTGCCCTTCTGCTATCACTGAAAGCAGTTTAAGAGATTTCCAGAGCAAGGGGCAATGCCGTGCCAGAGATGTGAGAAGTGTGTCTGGGGAAAACGAGCAGTGAATGCAGACTAGGAGTAACGATGTTAGTCAACTAAATTCAGCGGCAAACCAAAGGGAAGCAATGAGTTTTATGGTTTATCAATTTATTATTTATTTTTGTCTTTTTGAGACAGGGTCTCACTATGCAGTTCAGGCTGATTTGGGCTCACTTTATAGCCCAGGCTGGTCTCGAACTTGCAACGATCCACCGGCCTCCCCAGTGCTGGGATTACAGTAGTGCACCACCAGGCCCGGCTGGTTTAAGAAATGTAAATCCTTTGGATAAACTTCTTTTTCGACATCAGGTCATATTTACATGCGGATGTTCACCCAAAGCTTTCTATCCATAAATATATCTAAAAGAAAACTAAATGCCAACTCAAGTCTCCTTCCAGTTCCAAATCCCCATCATTTTCCTCCGCTTACATGCAGATAGAAAATGTCTCCATCTTACTAACATCCATCGTGAATGCCTTCGTATCCAAAGACAAGACTGTTGTACTTCAGGCCTTGCTCACCCTCCGAAGACTGATAGAAAAACTGGACAAGGTGACCTACTCCTCACTGTGCCCTGGAATTGCTTCCAGCTACTTCCGTCTGATGGATCACGTGAGTCACACTGTTACATGTGTGAGATCCTTAGGTCTGAGGGTTCAACAGAAGCCCAGTTGCGGCAATGATCTTACATCCTAAAATAAGTTCACAGAGGCCAGATGTTTTCTTCAGTCACTACTGTTTTCCAGAGATGCTAATATAGGAGGCCCTTTTTAAAAAATGACATTAACAGTCTGAAAAAAATCTGTTGATAAGGAAATAGGATGAAAAAACAACTCCTGTGCTTGGATGAGAGAGAAATCACAGCTTGGTGGCTACATATTGATCGGCCCTGGATCTGGACTCTGTAGGTTCATGTCCCTATTCTACTCTTATGAGCTGTGATGTCATAAGAAAGTCCTTTCTATGGGCCAGGGATTTAGCTTAGCGGCATAAGTGCCTGCTTGGCAAGTACAAGGTCATGCGTTCGATCCCTAGTACCAAAAAAAAAAAAAAAAAAAAAAACTTGGTGCATCAGTTTCCCTATCTGTAAAACAGACAGCAGGGTGTGCAGGCATTTTGATGTTTTGGTGTATGAGTACATCATGAAATTATAGACTCAACTAATTAATATATCCATCATCTTAGTCATCATTTTTATAGTGATAACATTTAAGATCTAATTTCCTAGTAATTTTCAAGTACATACTATATTACTCCTAATTATAGTCACCATGCTATACATGCTAGATCTCCAAAACTTAAATCAACTACTAAAACTGTACATCCTGAAATCAACCTCTCCGATATCCCTCCAACCCCAGCCTCTGGAAAACATGGTTCTACTCTGTCCTTCTACCAGTTCAATTTAAAAAAAAATTGTGCATATAAGTTAGATTATGCAGTATTTGTCTTTCTGTGCTTGCTGATTTTACTAACCATAATGCCTTCCACTTAGCATAAAATCTCCCCTGGGATTTTCTTCTTTATTATGATCAGAAGTATGTTTGTGTGTGTATTCTTCACCCATTCTTACACTAATGAGCACTTAGGTCAATTCTATGTCTTTCCTATTATGAATAATGGATAAGCAAGTATGCTAAAAGCAAAACAAGAACTGACTACGTAAGCCCAATGTCTTCTAAAAAATGATCATTTCACACATATGTGTATATAGACATATGCAGCATATATATTTATATTTTATATACATACTAATATTCTCATACGAGGTCTTTTTCTTTCCTACATTGCAGTTTTATGGAAATATTCGGAACTTGGCCATCAGGCACTTGGCAGCGTTACTCAAGGATACGAGCCATCAGACATCAACTTTGAAACATATCCTAGGAGGCTTCACACCCCTCATCCTCTGTTTAGAGGACAGGGATGGCACAGTAGTGAGTGTAAGTGTGAGTAAGTGAAAGGAAGGCCTTTGTATATTTCTTAATTTTGCAGAAAAGCACAATATTTTATGGTACAGCATATAAACAGACCCTCACTGCCCTTATTCTCTCTCTCAGGCATGTAAATATGCATTAGCAATCTGTGACTCCCAGCTAGAATGGTCAATATCCAATCTGCTTAAAGATGAAGACTATAATTTTGAGGTGGTGGTTTTCCACATCTGTAACCGTCTTGTAAGTAGCCCTTGAGTATTTACTACTAAGAATTTTTTAAAGATTTTTTAAAAATTTTATTTAAAAGGAAAAAGAGAAAAAAAACAAAACAAAACAAAGCAGTGTAAGGGTACAAGTAATACAGAACTACAAAAAAAAAAAAACAGAAATCACCAGTTAATAGATTACATATTATTATCTTAGACATAGTTGCTCAAATCACAGTATCAGAGCATACAAAGTGGACATTCAAACAGTGAGACTGCAAACAGTTGTGTTCAATGATCCAACCAAAAACATTAATATGGTCAGCTATTTAACACCCCTAAACACACTTGCAGTTGTATCCTTTAGAGCTCTTTTTTTCTCTCTCTTTTTTACAACAAAATTTACACATTTTGGGTTTTCTTACTCCTTAGTTCTTATTACTTTTTTGGGGGGGAGAGAATAAAGTCAAATATGGCAAAACAAAGCTGTCAGTCCAAACCAAGGATAGACATAGCACATGGTGTAGAACAGAGTACAAGGTTATAAAGTTGAACAAAACAGTAGAGAACAAGACCAATAAAACTTAGGCATTGTAAACATTACAGGACTTCCAGAGGAGACAATAGTCAAACCAGAATGGGCATCTTAGTTACTACGAAGAATTAAAGACAAAACGTAAAGGGCATCTGAAGTGACAAAAGGTGGGGGGAGGAGGGGGAAGGGGAAGACTGATCTTGAGGAAAGAATGTGAATAAGACATGAAATTACAGCTAGAGATTGAGATGAGAAAAAATCAGAATTCGCTACTTCTTCATCTACTTTGATGAGCCAGCTTACCCTCTTCCACCAAAACACAAGGATGAAAGAAGGCATGCTGACTGCAAGTTGAAACCAAAGTTGAATTGGAAAGGCAAAGCTGAGTCTGGGAATAACAAATAACAGCTGCAAGTAGGTAGAAAGAGAAGATTTCATGCATAAAAATCCCCAAAGCTTTTATTGGTCCTGATTTTGTATAAGCGGTCAGGTTATTTGGTCTTGCAGCTTTTCTGGAGAGCTCATGCGCTTTTTCACCAATTTAAAGAGGCATTTTCTTTTTATCCCAGCTCCTTTCCCATGGGGCCGGCATTACATCTTTAGTGTGTGACACCTTGAAGTTCCTGGGGAGTTCCCAAGTGCATCTGAGAAGAGCAGCAGTTATTTTACTAGGTAAATACATTTAACCCTTACTTAATTTATCTTTAAAGGTACAGAACAGTTAGCTTGGAGTCTTCATTAAAAATGTATAGAGCTAGGCGAGGTGGCGGACACTTGTAATCCCAGCACTCAGGAGGCTGAAGCAAGTGGATCACACAGAGTTCGAGGACAGTCTAGGCTACAGAGCGAGTCCAGGCCACTGAACTACACAGCAAGATCCTGCCTCAAAATAAGTAAATTAATAAATAAATAGTTTTTGTTCATGATGATGGATATCACCTGTCATGAATACCTGTGATGAGAATAGAATTCTATTTTATAATATGAAGTAAGCTTATCTGAAAGACATAAATTATTACCCAAAATGTGCTTAACAGGATGGATCTCTAATTAACATGTCACAGTTCATCTTTCCCCTTCACGTCTTAAAAATCACTATCTAAGGAATAAAACAGCTTACATACAAACATCTTCTTCAACAAAAAGTGGAAAATCTGTGACCATAAACTACAGTACACAAACAAATGAAGAAGAGGTACAAAATCCATTTTTAAAAAATGTAGAGCCCAGAGCAGTCAAGGAAGCCTAAGGGAAGGCAACTAAAGGCACGATCCCCACCTCACATAATCCTGATAATAGTATTTTTTCCAATGAGCTCACTGTGCAGATCAATGCTAATAATCCCTTAGGTTAGGCCGGGGACATAGCTCAGTGGCATAGAGAGCCTGGTGAGAATAAGGTCATGAGTTTGATACCCGGTACCCAAAACTCCGTATGTGGGCGTTCCCAGCTGAGTAGCAGGCTCTTCCCGGATTCTGTCCAGCACCACGGACTAAGGACAAGGAGAGTGGGCACCAGGGCTCATGACCTGTGTTTGTGGAGGGGATCAAAGATTCATACGTGCACAGACAGAGAGAAAAGCCCTGTTCATGAGCACTTTACTCCAGACCAGTAAGAATTCCTGTTGTCTTGAACGCTACCCTGCAACTTTTCTGAATATAACAACTATGAGATCTAAAATTAAGTGATTTTTTTTAAACAAAGGAAATGCATTTTCTCTCTATAGAGATACTTTGGGGGCTCAGGCAAAGAAAAAAGAAAAATAAAGTTCAGAAAATGTTTCTACAGAGCACAGGAACTTCATCCTAACTATCTGCCATGAATCCAAGCCTTTGAGAAAAAAAAAGATGGTACGCATTAGTGACAAACCTGTGGCATGAGTGCCAAGCAGCCGGCCAGCCTCTACCACTGAAAGCTCTAAAAGGTTCACCATCGCTGATCTAAAGCATGTGCGAGACCTCGGGGAGTATGTGACAGGGCAGTGGGGGCCCAGGAGAATGAGCTCCCAAAGTAGAGTGGAAGGGGTGAGACTGGGAGAAATGTGGAGCCAGCACAGGAAAGGACAACCACATTGCAACCAGAAAAAGAGACAAGCAATACAAAAGCGAGAAACTTTTTTTAGCATTACTGGGGATTGAACCCAGGACCTTCACTACATAGCCAGCCTCTGTGGTTGTTGGGGTGTTTGTTGTGTTGGTATGATCTCACTAAATCACCTCATTGCCTAGGCTGGGCTTGAAGTTTTTTTTTTTTTTTTTTTTTAAACCGGTACCGGGGATCGAACTCACAACCATGCACTTGTAAGGCAGGCGCTTATGCCGCTGAGCTAAATCCCCAGCCCGGACTTGAACTTTCAATCCTCCTGCCTCAGCCTCCCAGAGTAAGGGCATTACAAATGTCCACCACCACACTTGACAAAGGTGAGACATATTAGCAAAGAGAAATGAAAAATCAGTTTTACAAATTAACCAGTAATAGTAGAGAGATGACATGAGAGAACGGGCATCAACGATACAACTGCTGAAGAAGAGAAATAATTACAACTAGAAAGTACTCAAAGATATAATGTCACAAATGAGAAAAGCCATAAATTGAGATGAAAAATGATTTTTTACAGATCATTTATACAGAAGGAAACATAAGGCATTTCCTAATTGTTTTGAGCATCTTGGTAGTGAAGTAGGTAACTATAAATTTTAAAAAGTAAGTTTGGCACTAGACTCCAATTGAATATTCAATGTAGAATAAAATAAAACAGGGTCAACAAAATCGTGACTGGAGAGAAAATTGTGACTTAGGGTCACAATTCAGCAAAATTATAGCCAACTATGAAGAGACTATAAAAATATTTTCAAAAACGTAAGAGCTCAAAAAAATACGATTCCTTGGTAAAGAAATTATTAAAGGATAGAATTCATCCAGTTAAAGAGTAAATGAATGGGGGCTGGGGATTTAGCTCAGTGGCATAAGCACCTGCCTTGCAAGCAGGCAGTCATGAGTTCGATCCCTGGTACCGATAAAAACGAAAAAGACAAAAAAAAAATTTAAAAAAAAAAAAAAAGAGTAAATGAATGAACTATTATAAAAAGACATGTGGGTACTTAAATGTAAGACGCAGCCTATTCTCCATTTTGGTTTTTTGTTTTGATTTGTGCTTTTCTCTCTGCCTGGTGGCCTCCACACCTGAAGCCCCACTGCCATCTTGCCTTCAGCAGGGGGCAGCACTTAATGATTATCAAGGCGTTCACCAGGCAAGGGCAGGAGGAGATATCCTTGGGGGAGAATGGGAAAGTAGCTACTAATTCCACCACATATAAAAATTTAATATCTAGCTACAGAATTTTAGACAGTCTGTTACTCAAGGAAAGACAAGCAGACCTGTGGAAAAGTATAGGCCTAGAAACAAACCCGCCCATATATGTAAAGTATAATCAGAACTAAAGGGATCTGTCAGATCAAAAAATGACAGACTTTAGGGCCAAGGATTTAGCTCAGCAGCATAAGCGCCTGCTTGGCAAGCATGAGGTCACGAGTTTAAGCCCCAGTGGGGGGGGGGGGACAGACTTAGCTGAGCATGTTGGTACACATCTGTAATCCTAGCACTCAGGAGGCGAAATCTTGTCTCTAAAAGACAAAAAAAAGAAAATGGACTGGCTAATAAAAAGTTGCCAGAACTAGGAACACACATGAGCACCACACACACACACACACACATGCATGCCCACATGCATAGATTCCTGAGAGTCTACTCAAAAGTTAACTCCAGGAATAGCAATGTAATATAAAGCACAAATATTTAAAATGTTTAGAAAACATAGGATGATATCTTTATAACCAAAAGTAGGCAAAATATTTTTTAAAAACATGAAAAGCAATAAGCTAGGGTAAATATTTGTAACATAAGCCACTATAACATTAATATTCAAAGCATATTAAATACAAGAACTCAAGAAAAGGATAAAAATCCAATACACTAAAAAATTAAAAGCATAAAATGTATGAAAATAAAAACCTTTAAGAGGATTTCATAGAACAGACACAAGAACAAATAACCATATGAAAAGATGTTTAGCAACATTTATCATCAAAGGCATGCAAATTAAAGCAGGAATACCCTATTAAACAACCAAGAAAAGGGCACGATTCTTTAAATGGAAGACAAGAAAAACAAAGTTTAAAATTGAACCTTGGGGCTGGGGATTTAGCTCAGTGGCATAAGTAAAGTACCTACCTGGCAAGCACAAGGTCATGAGTTTGATCCCCAGTATCAAAAAAAAGTTACATTGAAGATGGAGGGGCTTTTTCGTTTTTTTTTTGTTTGTTTGTTTGTTTTTTTGTTTTTGTTTTTTTTTTTTTTTGGTGCCAGGAATCGAACTCATAATCTTGTGTTGCCAAGCAGGCATTATGCCGCAGAGCTAAACCCCTAACCCAGGGCTGGAGATTTAGGTCAGCGGCATAAGTGGCTGCCTGGCAAGCACAAGGTTGTGAGTTTGATCCCCAGTACCCAAAAAAAAATAAATATATAAAATAAAATTGAACTTTATCAAACAATGGAAAGTAACTACCAAATGGAAGAAGATACTCGTATCTTGTGTATCTTGACAAAGAATCATATCAGAATAAAGAATTTATGCAAATTAATAAGATCACCCAGTTTTTAAAAAAAAAAAGGGTGGTGGCTGGCATGACATATCTCAGAAAAGGATATCCAAAAGGCCAATAAACATTTTAAGAGGTATTTGACTCCATCAGTTACTATGAAAAGGTAAAGTAAAACCATTATGAATTCAACAGAATTCTAGAATAGACACTGACAGCACTAAGTGTTATCAAAGATTTGGGGCAATCAGAACTCTCTTACATGTGTTAAAAGTGAAAATCAAAAGCCACTCTGGAAAACAACTGTATCTGTTAGAGCTGATACACACATATCGTGCCTCAGGAATTTTGCATGAAAGCTAACAGAAATGTGTGTTCACAAAGACTACATACCATAATATGCAAAGTACCACTGTTAATCATACTTCAACCCTGCAGATAACAATTAGATGACTATATTGTATGTAATAGGCTCACACGGTGAAGAACCCTACAGCAGTGAAGGAGAAAAACTTACAAACACTTGGCACTGATGTGAATGAGCCTTACAGACAATTGTTGAACAAGCAAGCCACTTACCCAGCGGAGGTTTAGCTCAGCAGCACAGGGGCCTGCCTGGCAAGCACGAGGTTATGAGTTTGATTCCCAGTACCAAGACAAAAACAAAATCCAAAAACTGTGTATGTTGTATGATTCTATGGACATAAAATACAAAAATAGTAGAACTAATGAGTGGTATTACTACTCAAGGTAGAGGTTATTCACATTTGTGGAGAGATGGGCAGGATGCCTCAGAGGGGATTTCTGGGTTACTGGTAATATTTTGTGTCTGTACTTTAGCCGTGGTTAATATCTGAACATTCTAAGAACTGTAAATTTATCGAATATGTACTTTATGTATGTGATCTCAAGATCTTTTTTCCAAATTCATTTTATTTCAAGGAGATCCCTAGATTTTAATTAATTAAAATTATGTCCACATGTACTTAAAACAAGGACCAAAAAAGATATGGAATGTTAACCATAGTGGTAGTAGAAAATGATACAGGAGCCAGGGATTTAGTTCAGCAGCG